AAATATGGTTGCCGCAACGTTGCTGCAACTTTCCGTGCTATCAGGGTTCGGTTCAAAGCACGTAATTTGCCATTTTAGACCATTGCAGAGTGTGCTCAAACAATAATTGCCTTGTTCGTCTTCGAAATATTTATCGGAATAAAACTCCAATTCCTCGCATTTCGTATTAGGATCCACGAACTGCTTGACTCTTCCATCCAAACCTACTTTCACCAGGAACTTGTCGGCTTCGCGCGCCTCGTACCTTTTGGTGACACGAGTCAAAAACCCTTCGCCCCGTGGCAAATTGTAGATGTTTGATCTTTCATACCTATTGACGATACTGACTGAAAACCAGTTGATCTCTTTGTCGCTGAGCTTGAACTGGGTGCATTTCATGGCTGTATTGTTGAGATGATACACGCATATTCCGATCAAGCCATTGGCCAAGGAGACCTCAGGGTAGCGCACATCTTCGATATGAGTTAAATTTTGTCTTTGACCTGAAAGCGTGAAAAATTTCTCTTTAGTGTCATAATTTAAATTCTGAAAATTGAACCATGTTTCTATGTCAATTACCGTTTGGCTGAATTAAAGCTATAGTCATCAATAGTTTTTCGGTCCCTTTTATAGGCGATATTTCGATCATCAAATAGCCCTTGTCCTTCGATAATGGAAAGATAGTCGCTGGGTGGTGCAAGAAATTTGGATAAGTGAGCCACGTATTAACCTTCGAAGCCACTCCTTCAGCATCAATCGATGTTTTATTAATGCTCATCTTGTCGAACGAAATAATTTCGAAATCATCTTCTCCTTTATTGTCATATACTAGTGAGTGAAAGTCTCTATCACTGAAGCCATTTGTCGACTTTTGCCAATCTCCGAAATAAAAATCTAAATTTTTGGCCAACTGATTCAGATCGTTTGAAATTTTGGTCGTTTTGACTTTACAATTGCGAAAATCGACAATGCTGAATCGCAAGTTATAATCATCATACACATCTGTATCCTTAGTCTCTTGGGCCCAACGCAATATTGCTCGATGCTTGCTTAGATATTGGATATCAATAAGATACTCGGGGATGATGCCACCGGACTCGGAGCGCAGTGTGATTTTGCACTCATCCTTCTTCAGGCTGCCTCCTGAAAAAGTTGCCTGTACTCGATATAAAGTACATTCCTTTTGATGTTGCCAGTCGTTCATTTCGCACGTGCCATAATAGAAGGTGGTATTTTCTACGGAACTGTCACTATACACTGGCCAATTTGTACCTAAGTCGTGTTCGTACGAAAAATTTCGATAGGCATTCACAGGTGAACATGCGCCAAGTAAAATTATGCCGTTTAGAGCAGCGACGATTGTACAAAACGTCGGGAGTGTCGACATCGTTATTGAAATGTTTTGTGCTGCTTTTAACTCGTTGCTAGCCAAAACGACACTGAGCTCTTACTTCTTTTTTGACTTGATTTTATATGCGCAACACAAAAAAAAAATTTAACGGGTATTTAATTATAAATATATTGTATAAGTGATTCACGAACAAAACAATTAACATACATGATAGTTGATACGTTTTTTTCGAATGGATTTTTTTCCATTTTTGTGAACTTATACATGATTTTCTTAATAAAATATTGAACATACAAGAAGTCGAAATCTACATACCTGTAAGTAATAAGTACTCAAAACTTCAGACGTAGCGGAGTCAAGTAATTTTTGAGTTATGACGGGCATCGACAAATAAACCTAATTTCGAGTCAAACTCGTTCGAAGTTCTTAACTATCATGCAAGTGCTGTGTTACATACGTGCTTGCAGCAAACTTTTACACGAATTTGAAGGTGGTGATTCTTGAAAATAAAAGCAATTTAAGAATTCAAAAAATATGTGAAAGGGAAGACACGATGTACGTTTTCCGCCTATCGCCGGTGCAAATCTGCGTATCATCTACACAGACGATCTTTTTCCTTGAAATCCTGAATAATTACGAAATGTAGATTCTTTATTGACACATTACAGAAAACGATTTACACGAGGATAAATTGTTTAGGTGAACGATATTGTTTTGACCAGCGAGGTGGGTAATCGGTTCGCGTAAAAACCCACGAACTGTTCATTTTTTCAATTTATTTTCTCTCTTCCGAATGGAAGTATAAATGCATTCTAATTTCGTTACTTGCATATTTTTATCAAAAAAGACGCCTTTTCGACAGAGTCATTGAGAATATTTAATACAATGAATAAGGGAACGAGTGAAATGTTCAGTCTAATTACGAGCAAATTTCGATTGGAGCGAGCCGCGCAACGCTTAAAACAGCTCGGGATCAGAAACCAGCAAAGACAGTAAAAGAAATTCACTTGTATATCATTGTAATTCGTCGGAAAAAATAAATGAAGATATGCTTCCGATAGGAAATTTTCTCAGCTTTCCGATGGCAATATCAGATTTTCCGAAATTTTCAATTTTCATAAGAAAAAATCACAAATAAACCAAAAAGTTCACTTTTTCCGCACCGAGTTTTTCGAGATATTTAGCCCTCAATGTTTGATGGCGATTTCCTCGGTGAAAATTGGATATATTAGTAGTTAGTTACTTTTTTTAGATGAGTTTTGATACTTTTTCAATGATTTGGAAATCGAGTAATAAATAAGCCGTCTTTGCGTGAAAAGATGACTTTTCGGCGTCTAAAACACAAAAGTGACAAAAAAAAATTAATTATTTTCAAATTTCATGTTCACGCTTTTTTTTCACTCCTAGAAGTTCTAGGAACAATTTGCGGGGGTCCTGGCCGCTGGGCACCCAAAAAAAAAGTTCACCTTTTTTGTTAACGAAACGGCATTTTATTTTGGGATTTGACCATATACGCAATTCATCCATCTCATATCTCTGTCAGAAGATTATCAAGTTTCTATGAATAATTTATTGTTTATACAAATGTCTTGAACTTATTGTAGTCATATGATCGTGAATCTCATTAGTGCAATATTGGAAAGTGTCAATTTTTATAAATGACAATAATTATAAAAATAATTAGTATAAAAATAATACATAATATTACAATAATATTTATAATAATAATAATAATTTTTATAACTTTTTTATTAATTGTTATATTTTTTAAGAGCCAACGTGAACATTTTTATCATTGATAATATATTGTAAAATGATCTATATTGACCCAATATGACAAGTAGTTTTTTGAAAGTATATTTAGTTATAGAGGTCTGAAAAAAATTTCATAAAAAATTATTCATGCAATTCCTATTAAAAAAATTTTCCAACTCCCAGTTGAAAATGTTATTACGCAGTCAATAAGTTTCGTAACTTACGAGATCGATCGAAATTGCTTCGTTCGAAAACGAGCGCGTCCGATCGGCGCGACTGCGCGACCGAAGCCTCCGTGGCCCCTCCTCCTACAGCAATTATTCAAAGTACGCCGGCAGCACGCCACTACTCTACATGCCGGAAAATCTCCCAGCGTCGAGGCACTTGCACACGTTCACCCGTTCTGTCAGCATCGGCTCGATCGTAATAGTCGACCACGTGCTCATACACCAATAATTAATATTGGAAAATTTATCCATTTTCTGGAGATTAATATATTATTCACAAAACAAACTCAATAATGGTAAGTCATCAACTATACGTTTACTAAATTTCATGTAATTATTTGGTTTACTGGGAAGGTTATGTGTGCACGTGTTTGTATCACACTTTTTAAGACGTTTACTTTATTACATATTATTAAATTAAAACGAGGCAATTCAACTTTCATTCTGTTTGATAATTACTTACTATTAATTTATTTCAATCGAACAACACATGCTCATGATAGTTATTTAATTTCAGGCTGACGAAGTGAACCCCAAAGCCTACCCATTGGCCGATGGAACTTTGACTCCCAAACTCTTGAACCTGGTTCAACAAGCCATGAACTACAAGCAGCTGAGGAAAGGAGCCAACGAAACCACAAAGACACTCAACCGTGGTATCTCTGAGTTCATCATCATGGCTGCCGATGCTGTACCCCTGGAGATCTTGCTCCACTTACCACTGTTGTGCGAGGACAAGAATGTCCCCTACGTCTTTGTCAGGAGCAAGCAGGCCTTGGGCAGAGCTTGCGGAGTCAGCAGACCAGTCGTGGCATGCTCGATTACCACCAACGAAGGTTCACAGTTGAAACCTCAAATCATAGCCATACAAAAGGAAATTGAAAGATTACTAGTTTAAAATTAGTATGATACTTAACCTTACTCTGTAATTAAATTCCAAAATAGTATAATTTAATTGTAATTTTTTAGCTTATTCTGACCAAATAAGATGTAATAGATGAATTTTATATTTTATTAACAGAAATATTTAAATCGTTTGTTTTTGAACGATTTTTTAAATAAAACTACTTGTTAATAATAATACAAAGCTTAAATTACTGCAGAAATGCATCAACCACCATTCACATATACACTTTTTGAACCATATACTCATAAAGCTAAATTAGCTACACAAGCCTATATGTACGTATCGATATCATCCCCTCTCAATTGCGCGCAGCCGAGTTGCAAGTGTGCGACGGTTGCTGTGTTGTTGTTGTTGTTGTTGTCGCTGCTCTGCCCGCGGGGGTGTCGAACGCAAATTGACAAACTTGCCTTTGTTGCGAAGGTAAACTCTACTTGTTTATCAAGAGTGACGCGTATCAGTGCGAGCCGTTGCGAGCAGGATCGCGCGATTTTACAAAAAAAATAACCTGGAAAAAGCAGGACACAAGCTTACTGCTGTGCCGCGTGTGCAATCATTATAATTTTTTTGAGATGATCCCGCGGTCATGATACGTATCAAAGTGCTTTAGCGCGCGTAATAAGTGGACGAATCGCCCAGTGCAGCAGCAGCAGCAGTGTCAGAGCGTCTCGCGAATGGATGATGAGCGACTCGGATGATACCGAGGTTCTGCTGCTCTTACCTCCGGATCTGTTCGTTGTGCAGGCGTCCGACACCGAGGGCTGCTCCGACTGCTCGCGTCAGAAATTCGGGGTCGTTTCCGATCTCATCGATCATGTGCAGACGCTAGAGTCCAGGATATGCGCCATAGAGTCGAAGAAAAATAATAACAGTGCCTCGACGAACGATACCAAATTATCCGCGGATTCCGGCTTGAGTCGTAGACAAACGTTGCCAAGGGCCAAACGTACTGTAAGTCGATACTCCTCAAACTCGCAGAAAAGAACCGCTAATTATCCCGAGAGTCACTCGTTGCCATCATCACCTAACAATCGACGCTACGATCATTCTCATTCATCATTTGCAAATAACACTAATGACATGCATAGCTCTACCGTAAGAAAGAATAAAAAGTATCCTGAATCCGATTCAGTTTACAAAAAGACTAATGCTGGGAATAAAGGCTCTTTGCATGTTGGTTATGGGTCTTCGATAAGAGATAGTAGCTCGTCTGCCTTATCAGTAACAAAATTTAGTAGTAAGGATAACAAATCTCATGTATCTTTACCTGCATTAAACTCTTCTAACATCTTGGTAGATCAAATAAACGCAGACTTGAAGCAACGGAGCAGAGACATGAGTATTACGCAAGCAGAAGAGTTTCTTAGAATAAGGGAGACTCCAAATAGTTTAGCGTACGCAAATGACAATGGTGATAATTCATCGGTCCATTTTCAAGCTAGAAAACACTCCGATGCCAAGAGTCATCAATCGCATAAAGAACAAAATGATAAAAAAAGACATAAGGAGTACCAAAAAATAAAATTTGCAAACAATGGTCATAATCCAACCCTGGATGCATCATACCAGTCAGATTATGATAAAGGCAAGAATGTTTCTGACTTTACATTACCAAATGATACGTCATTCTCATCTTTTGATACAGAAAGATTCAATGCTGAATTTAAACCTTGGACTCCCAGCTTTAATCATGAGCTTAGTAATAGCAAGTTGAGTCTTGGTGAATTGAAAAATATGGACAGAAGTGAACTTAATAATCAGAGCAAAGCAACTGATCAAACGTTAAATGAAACTATGTATCACAATTATGCACCTGTAGATACTAAGTACTCTACGGATAATAATAAAGAAAGAGATCATAGACACAATTTTGACAGTAAATCAAGACCACTTTTATCAGCAGCAGAGAATAGTCAAGATAATTGTTTGACAAGTTGTAAAAGTTGTCCAGTTATCTTCAAAGATTCTACAAATATGCCTTTAACTCCTTATGAACAAATATTGAAAAACTCAGAAATTTCTAGTAATAGACGTCACACTGCTGAACAAAATAATATTTCTAATGTTAATGGTAAACAACAAAATTTGAGGCAAAATCGATTTTATTCATTATCTGATTTTTGGAATCAAGATTCAAGTAAAACTATGGAAGAACAATTGAGAATAAGACTTGAAGAAGAAAGACTACGTAGAGAGGTATGTTTGTCAATCTATATTGTTACTTTTAAAATTATTCAACAACTTAAATCTTATTCATTTGTAGCACTGTGAGGAGCTTATCCAGGACTTACAAAAAAAATTATTAGAATATCAAGAAAAAATAGGAGTTGCTGTTCGAGTGGATAATGAAAAGAATACCATGATAGCACAATTTCAATCATCATGGAAAAAAATTAGACAAAAATTGCAAGAGACTGAACTAGAACGAGATAATATTCAAAAAATGTTCAAAGGTTGTAATGAAAAACACAAGTTGAATGAGCAGAGTTATCAAGAACAAATAAAGAACCACAAAGAAGAATTATCAAAAGCCCTAAGTTTAGCTACTGGATATAAAGAAAAGAGTGATGATCTAACTCAAGAATTACAAAACTGTAAATCTCTGGTACAAGACTCTGAAAAAAAATATGGAGAATTGAAAGCTGAAAATGACAAATTGTTAGAGAAGAATCAACAGACTAACAAAGCGTTAAAAACCACCCAAGAGGAGCTGAATAAAGAGCTAATGAAAAGTGGAGAGGTGAGGGCTGAAATGGCACATATACACAAAGCTTTAGATACTTGTGAAACTGAATTGACTATTTTGCGTCAAGAAAAAGAAAATTTGCAGTTAAAACTAAATGAAGAATTAAACAGAAATCAAATTCTTGAGAAATCAAAAGCTGCTTTAAACTCTGCTTTAGAAGATGCAAAAAGAAGCGAGGTCAGTATTTATTTCAACATTAGCAGATTTAGTAATTTTTATGTTTTAAATTTTTTTATACTTTACATTTCAGAAATGGGCCAATGAAGAACTAAACGCACTGTCTAAACAGCAAGATAAATTACGTGCTGAACTTCGAGATGTATACCAAAAACAAGTTGATGACGTTGTTAAAGCTAAACTTCAAGAGTTTCAAACTCAGCTGGACTCTGCTGAAACTGTTTTTCAAAATGAAATTGAAATTAAACAAAAAGCCATAGCTGAGTGTGCAGCACGAAAAATTAAAGTTTTAATGGACAAGTGAGTACTTATTACCCATTAAAAATGAATGTAATTTTTATTTACAATTTTAAATATTTGGGAATTTTTCAGGCATCGATTAGAAGTTAATCTAATTGAAGAAAAACACAAAGAAGAAAAGAGACTGATTGAAATAAAATTAGCTCAAGCACGTCAAAAATCTACAATATTAGAATCTCAATTAAATAATTATAGAAAGACGAAAAACCAACTGGTTGAACAAATCCATATAATGATGCAAAAGCAATGGCAGGAAGCTTTGACGATTATTTCTAGTGAGTAAAATATATTTTTTTGTACGATTATTAAATAGCCAACGTATTTGTCAAACTAATGACATTAAAATTTTCCAGGAGGAAATGGAGAAAATGTACCTAAAATTCCAAAAATTAATGTAGAAAAGTTTTTCGAACTTTCCAGTAACATTAATTTAGACGCGGTACCAAAACATTCCAGCACCCTTCAATTGGAACCAATGAAGCTTGATTCTACCAAATCTAGTCCACGAAATTCCCAATTGCAGGACCAGCAAAATGAAAGTATTATGACTTTAACATCACAAGAAGAACCTCATTTAAGTAATCAGAAAGAAATAGATAATGATTTGAAAAAATACATAAAAATGGTTTGTCATCCGTAAATTTCTGTTTTTATTTATTATATTGTATAATTAATCATACTTGTTATACGATTTTAGATACTGGATTCACATCAAGCTTATGAAACAAACAGTAAACCAAAATTTTTTAATCATTACAATCATAGTCCACCGTCATCTCAAAAAGAAAACTCAAACAAACAATCTGCAAATCAAAAAGAAAATAACGAAAATGCATTATGGCAACCAGTTTCTGATGTAAGATAGCAAATACCTGCTGAATAAACATTTGATTAGATTTTATACTAATTACTAATTAATTGCTGTTTAGATGTCTTTACACGATACCAGTGAATATTTAAGTGTACCACAAAAGTTTGATTATAAATCAGAACAAATGAAACACCAAAAACCACCATGGAAATAATAATTTTCTTTACATAGCACCAGTAATCGTTACATTAACGATTTTGGTGTTGTTTCAAGTCAATTGTATGTATATTAAAGTATTTTAAGTAAAGCCTTTACACAATGTATATTTTAGAAAACTTTTTTGTGTAACTACAATAAAGTATTTTTTACTTAAAGATTATTTAGCATTCTCTAATATACCTTTTTTAAATAATTGAAATAATAATAATCTTTATGATGAGATGACACATTTTACATTCTTGAACAGCATTAAAAAACAAAAAGAATCAAACATAAAACATTTCAATATGAGTTTTATTTTCAAGTAGCAAATTTATTAAAAAAAAGATGCTCGATAATTGAAAATAGTTTCAGTTCAAGATTAATCATCATGGAAATTCAAAAAATTTTATTCTAAACTTCAACTTCAAGGCATTTCAACTAAATTAGACAGTATTAAAGTTGAAAAAGAAATTTTTTATTCCAATCTTACAAATTCTATTGATTAAATTACTTCTTCTTTGATACACCAACAGTGCGACCACGTCTGCCAGTGGTCTTGGTGTGTTGACCACGTACACGGAGACCCCAGTAATGACGAAGACCTCTATGGGCACGGATCTTCTTCATTCTCTCCAAGTCTTCACGTAATTTGCTGTCCAAGTTAGATGATGTAAGCTGGAAAAATAATTTTCAAGTATAATAATTTGATATTGATTGTAATAGTGTTGCATCGACACTGCATCAATATAGAAATTGAAAAATTATCATAGCAAGTCAACCAGTAATTGAGCTCAATAATTAACCGTTCTATCGTATTTATGTGTATCTACTTAATAATTTACAATATATTCTCACCTGTGAATATTTTCCGTCAACAATATCTTTTTGCCTGTTCAAGAACCAATCCGGAATCTTGTATTGACGAGGATTCGCCATAATTGTAATAACTTTTTCGACCTGAAATAGTAAATGATCCCCATAAATTCGTAATCAGCTTTTCTTTACTTTGTCGAGGTAAATTCAGATATCTTACTTCATCGTCGGTCAGTTCACCAGCTCGCTTGTTTAGATCGACATCGGCCTTCTTCAAGACGATGTTGGCGTAGCGGCGACCAACCCCCTTGATAGCCGTCATGGCAAACATGATGTTCCGATTACCATCTATGTTCGTGCTTACGACACGAAGGATGTGTTGAAATTTTTCCGGTAGTACCAGCGACTAAAAATAAAATAAAAATAATGTAAAACATGATCGGTTTTATTATAGGATGGGTCAGTCGAGACAAGATCTTCAAGATTTTTTCATGTCAGATTTCATTTTTAAAATATTTATCGCTCATTCAAACTGACGAGTGATTAATTAACATGAAATTTTCAACATAATAATCAACATAATAAATTATTAATAAGAAATAAGAAATAATGCACTTGGCAGCCCTTAACCTGTCATCGCGTTCGATCGACAAAAACAGATCTCACCCAGCAATGTTTACAACAATAAAGTCGCTAAATTGCGCTAATAATTATTGCCTGAGCGATTTCAACGCGTCGCGTAAAAAGTTTATAAAATAAGTTAATGTTCAATTTTTTTTCTCAATGTAAAAATTTGCAAACTTACCATGTTGATAGTGCAGTTATGGCCTCTGCAACAGTGGATGCAATGCACTTAATAGCATTAGCCATAAAATGCGACGCCACCGGCCGCCGTGCGAATTTGTGTTCGTCTGCATTATGCATGAGTTCAGTAAATTTGTGCTTCATTTTGTTCATTTAAAAAGAGTTCAATAGTTACGGTATTTAAAATTGTTCGTAAGATTGGGATTTTCTTCGTGTTCAAAAGCACAAAATTAACAGTTAAAAATTAATACTAGAAAATTGCAATGAACTATGAGTCGTACGTCAGGCTATTATTGTAGATAAATGAAGTCGCATATTATCAATGAGGGATTAAATAATTTATTAATTAATTCAATGTCTGCTTGATCTTAAAGAATCTGCACGTCCTCGAAAGATAATGGTTTGCACAAAAGATTTTTAAATCAACTAGAATTATGAAATCGCATTATTTTTTTCAAATTTGAAAAGTGGCGCTCCGCGCTAGTGTGCTTCCATCAGTTCCATCACGAATTCACGACTCACGTGTGCGTATGCACTATGCATAGTATACATCTATATATCTTTCAAGTTTCAGCCTTGCAGCAGTACAGCAGAGAGCAGACGCACGTGGCCGGTCTCTCAATTGTGAGTAAAATACTTTAATGCAGTGAAAAATATCTGTGCAGGAAAAAGTGCATCAATCAATTGGTATCGTGTAGCAAAACATCATGGTGAAAAAGGTTAGGAAAGTGTCGCCTTTCGAGGTTCACGTGAACAGGGACAAGTCGAAAGTTTTGGGAAGAAAAACCAAGGCGGATCATGGTCTGCCCGGCGTCTCGCGCTCGAAGGCTATTCGCAAACGCAAGAATACCCTGCTCGTGGAGTACAAAAACAGAGACAAAAACAATGTTTTCCTGGACAAGCGTATCGGCGAGAGAAATCAGAATCTCACGCCCGAGGAGAGAACCTTGGCCAGGTTCACAGCTGAAAAGCTCAAATCTTACGGCAACAAAAATATGTCCAACATGAACGAGGATGAGATATTGACTTTCAAAGGGCAGTCGTTGATGGACGTCGAGAAGTACGACGACTTGAGAATAAGCGATAACGACAGCGAGGATGGTGACGAGAAATCAGGACTATTAAACAAGAAGTTTGTAGAGGAAAACCACTTTGGAGGTGGCATGTTGACAAAAGCAACCTCCAGAAAGGATATCATTCAACAGATAATTATAAATGACAAAATACGTAAGGCAGAGAAGCAGAAAGAAAAAGAAGAAAAAATTAACTTGACAGAAAAAATAGATTCCGAATGGCATGATCTATTGCCACTAATCAGTTTTGGAAATAAAGATGACACAAATAAAAAGGAAGAAGCAGAGGTGACAGAAAAAACTACCAAAAGTGAAGGAAAAGGAGACAATTATGATTTGACAATGAGAGCGTTGAAATTTGATGCAAGATTGCCAGCAACTGATAAGCTAAGACCAGTTGAAGAAATTGAAAGAGAAGAAAAAGCTGCATTAGAAAAACATGAAAAAGAAAGGTTAGAAAGAATGCATGGTTTTACTGATGCTGACACCGAATATTTGAAGCAGCATAAATCTGCAGATGATTTGGATGATTATAAAATTGAAGAAATTGTTGATGAAGGATCGGATGTCGAAGATGAGAAAATAATGACCTTTGCTGACATGATAGAGCACATGAGAAAGAAAAAAGCAAAAGAAGAAAAGAATGGCGAAGAAGATACTAGTGACGATGAGATTGAAGAAAGTGATGCTGGAGAAGATGATGAAAGTGATGCTGAACAAGATGATGAAAGTGATGATGAACAAGACGATGAAAATGATGATGTTGAAGAAAGTGATACCCAAAATGTTAATGGAACTGATGATGCTAAAGAACATGTTAGCGGAAACAGTGAAGAAGATGCTGATGAAGATGAGGAAGAAAGTGATGCAGAAAAAAGCAAAGTTGAAGAAGATGAAGAAGATAGTGATGATGAAAATAATGTCAACACTAAAAAACATGAAAAAATTTCTAATAATGAAAGTGATAAAGATGATAGTAGTTCAAAAGAAGAGTCTGAGTCAGAATCAGAAGATAATTTATCTGATTTGAGAGAAGAAACTTCCGATGAAGAAAGTGAAGAAGAAGAAACTCCTAAAGAATCTGTTCAAGAAAAAAAAGGGCTTGAAAAGCCAATTAGTTCAAAAACTGAATGTTTGATTCAAAAAGACATTGAAAGTATCATAAGTGACCATTACAAAAAAACAAAGAAGGATAAAAATAGTTCGTTGGAATTATTTTCAACTTTACTGGAGCACTTAGAAAATCAGTTTGCATTTGGAAATGATCCTACTAAAGAAAGATTTTTCAAAACATTTGACAGAATGTGCCCTCATATGTATGATCTTGCTCATGCTAATCCATCGGAAACTAGAAATGTTATTCTTACTTATATTAGAAAAAAACATGATGAATTTGAAAGCAAAAGTAAAATTTATCCTGGATTAAATACTGTAAGTATAAACAGAAATACAAAATTATCAATTTATCAAATTGTTTTCTGATTGAAATGTTTTTTTTTCAGGTTATTTTATTTAAATTAATCTCTTTGTTATATCCAACATCAGATTTTAGGCATCATGTTGTCACTCCGTCCATAGTATTCATGTCTCAAATATTATTGAAATGCAAAGTTAAGAGTAAACAAGATGTTGCAAAGGGTCTTTTTATAGTAGCTCTCATTTTGGAAGTGAGTATTAAAAACTTTTTATAATTTTTACTATAAATTTCGCTTCATATGCAGAAGCAAAACAAGTAAAATTTAAGCTTCGGTCATTAATTTAAGATTTGCTAAAAAATCTAATATTTAAATGTTTTTTTTTAGTACACAGCATTGAGTGGTAGATGGGATCCAGCAGCAATAAATTACCTTCGAGGTATCTTGTTTGTATCCTTGCCAAAACCAATTACTAAAGTACCAACTGTGGTTCCACCGTTTAAAAATACTAGTGTTCTCGGCAATATTTTAGTTTTGGAAAAAAATCAAAGCAAAACTAAGCTTTCTGAGCTTTCTGCTGAAGATATTAAAATGAAAGCAAAAGATTTCTCAGATACTGAAATGGATGACGATTTTAGGATAAGAGCATTTTGTACTTCGATAAATTTACTGCATGCATTCGAATCACAGCTCAATAAATTTGATGCAGCTTTCAGTATCTTCGAACCACATTTAGCAATACTAAAGAGTTGCTCTACAAAATGGTATCCGAAAATCGTTCAGGAAAATGTAAAGGCTCTCGTGGCCAAGTTTGAACAGCTCAAGGAGAAGAGAATCGAACATTTAACTTTCGAAAAGAAGAAACCCAAACCATTGAAACAATTAGAAGCATCAATTATGGATACAATGTAAGTAGATCATATTCATGAATTTCAATAATTCAATCCTTGTAACTACTAGTTTGAACGATCCATTAATGTAATCATTAACTTCTTTTCAGTTACGACGACAAACGCAAGAACAAGGGCTTGTCGCAGGAGAAGCAGGAGGAGAAGAAGCTGATACACAAGCTGAAGCGCGAAAAGAGGGGCGCGGTGCGCGAGATACGTCGCGACACGGCCTACACCACGAAGATCAGGATCAAGGAGGAGATCGCCAGCAACATGGAGAGCAAGCGCAAGTACAACAAGTTCAGGGCCGAGCTCGCCGAGGAGGCGCACGAGTCCAAAAAGTTCAGGAAGACATAGGTCCACTTGTGTAGTAGTTTATTACACAATTGTAAAAATAGTCGTTAGGCAAATATCATTAGCTGTTAAATACGTGTAAAAATAACTGATATTAGTTTTATAATGCGTGTATAAAAGTAATAGAAAAGAAAAGACTTTTGTTTACATGTTGAATTGTTGTAAAATAAAAAAGTTTTTAATTACATACACATTTGAAATCATTCCTATACCCTCATCGTGCCTTTTCAAAAACCGCCCGCCGGAACGAGAACGTGACGGTAAGCGTTACCGCGCGCCTGCTGCGCATCCCTCGACCAACAACGACTACAGCAGCAGCAGTACAGCAGTTCCGTATACGCAGGCAAATGATCAAATAGCTTCATCGTTATTGTGTGCATTATATATAACACGCATGCTAGACGACTTTTTAATGTAAATGGTGAACCGTCGAATATACAATTGCACACAGTCCTAAACTCGTCGTGGCCTGCAGCAGCTTCTAATCTATGTCACGCGTCCGTTAAAAAGAGGAATCAATTTGAAGATATCGTCGTATACGCAAGGCCTGCAACAGCGTGAAAAATTATTATATGTGTGTACGCGAAAACCAGTTGGTGTCTTGAAGCGTGTATGTTAAACGGTTGGTCGCCGATGTTGTTATCGTTATCATTGTAAAAAGGTGCGTGTCAATTGTTTCAAAGCCAATTATACATGCGCATGGCGTGGTATAATAGCATTTGTATTTTGTAGCCAAGTCCGGGTGCTCAATTCTTTGTTTTTATCGTCGTTTATACTTTCTCGAGTTCATCAAAGTTTTCCACTAACTGTGCATTAACTAATTTTTTTTTATCTATCTATTTAGTTAAACTATTCGATCGTTGAGCAGGCTATTATCGATCAAGTATACAGGCTTTGATAATTCAAATGTGTTGTGCCAATGCCGTATATTATTAGTGTAAAAAAAAAAAAATAGCTCGCTCTAATACCATCACATTCCTGTGTCCCGCACTGTTTGTCTGGCTTTATTCTCGATCGAACGGATAAATTGTCGCGATGCAGATGTAAGGGCCTTCGATGCCAATATACCTTGTATTATACCTATACGATGCTCGTGTCGTCTCGCTGCATCGAACTTGCATCAGTCGCATCTACGTGCAGATACGAATGAGAAATATAATGACAAAAAAAAAACCGTAACCTACTTTGCACGTTATGTAGAAAGCATAACATACAAATGAACTTGTGAAAGTGCGGTCGAACGAGACAAACTCTGATTGCAATTTTTTAAATGATTTCTAAAACGATATCGTTCGAATAGTTGAGATGAAAATTGTAATTATATTTCAGGACGCAATGGACTGTTATTAACAAGCCGTTAAGATGTCAAATGACAACAATGCCCCGCACACTTCTTATGGTTTAGATCAGCAAGGTAGATTAGTCAGGATAGAACCTGGTGCACCGGTTAGTCGATTTTCCAGTTTGGAGGAGACGCTCAGAAGATTGAGTTCTAATTTTAGACAAGAAGAATTGCAGGATTCCTCCTTTGGTACATGAAATTAATTTAATTTTTGTATTGTGGTTAGTAACTGTATTTTTAAATCTTCATCTTCCATTGTAGATGATCCATCAAGAAATTCTGCATCCGATATGACAGATAATGACCTATCTTCGGATATGACTGATGGAGCTCTGTCTCCAAATCAAACCACAGCAAGCATTCCACAATTGAGTTCTGACGAAGAGTGAGTGTAGTTCATATGTTTAATTACTTGAATTATGTAGATACTAATTTATTAATTTTCTTTTCAGTAAGAGATATTGTTGGGTATGTTTCGCAACAGACGAAGATGATGCTACTGCTCCTTGGGTTAAGCCTTGTCACTGCAGAGGTACTGCTAAATGGGTTCATCAGAGATGCATCCAGCGATGGGTTGATGAGAAGCAAAAAGGTCGCACTGGAGCTCTCGTTACTTGTCCGCAGTGTAACACAGAATATATCATTGTGTACCCTGATATGGGCCCCTTAGTAGTTATACTGGATACCATTGATGGACTCATTTTCCGAGTTTGCCCACTTATTGCAGCTGGAATTCTTGTTGGATGCATATATTGGACTGCAGTCACATTTGGAGCAGTTACAGTCATGCAAGTAGTTGGTCACAAAGATGGTCTCCAAATGATGGAACAAGCTGATCCTTTAGTTCTACTTGTAGGACTACCTACAATACCAATTATGCTTGTACTTGGTAAAATGCTTGATTGGGAAGATCAAGCTCTTAATTTATTTAGGAAACATGCATGTAAACTGCCACTTCTCAAGCATATTCTTAAAACATGGTAAGTTAAATTTGAATACAAAGCAATTTTATATTACTTTTCAATTCTGCATACATACTATTTTTCAATTCTATTTTTGCAGCTGTGTAGAAGATGAGGTAGTAAGATCACAAGATGTACCGCCAATGACTGACCCAGCATCAGCTACAAGAATTTTATGTGGAGCACTCCTGCTTCCAACAATTGCTACAATTTGTGGCAAAATATTTTTTAGTAGTATTAACTCGAATTTTCAAAGGACGATATTGGTAAGTTTCTGTTTGTATAATCGAAAACGTATTTTCCGTCAATTCATTAACGTACGATTATTTTTAACAGGGAGGAGTAGCTTTCATCACAATTAAGGGAGCCTTTAAAATTTACTACAAGCAGCAACAATACATTAGACAGCGTCAAAGACGTATCATGGATTACACGGACAGCAATATTGCCTTGTACAGAACACAAAGGAGCGCGGAAGACAACCAAACCAACAATTGAAAAATATTAAAAGGAAAAAAGTAAACTAGTTGCAAAAAAAAAGTATATATAAAGTGTACAAATTTTCTAGAAAGAATTCAAATTTTATATACTTTCGTTTCATTTCATTAGAAGCAGTTGAAGTTTAATTCTTGTTGTTGAGATATTTTTAAGATGTTCCAGTGAACTTCAACAATGACTATTGCTATGAAACTCAATGCCAATCAACCTATATATTATATATTATATAAAAGTAAAAACAGAATGGATAGGTACTCGTGTATTCCTACATTTAAATTTTACGATGTATATTATAATCATAATTGTTTCGATTGTGCACACAGATTTACTGTTTCAATTAAAAAGACATGGAGTTTCAATGCTGCTATGAAAATTCAGATTCACGTGATTTTTTTTCGAGTACTTTTTTCTCTCTCTCTTCTCTCTTAGTGACTTAAAACGTAATTATAAAAAAACTCCAAGGCATTTTGGTCATTGTGTTTCTCCGATTTTTAGAATATACGACGTTGACAATTATACATTTTTTTTTACTTCTTCCATCTTTCTCTCTCTTATAAAATGAACAAAACAAATAAAATAAAATAAATATTGCCCGCAAAGGTTGTTAAACAAGTTTCGCAAAACAAAAAAAAAAAAAAATTGTTTGTACAAAATATTATAAAAGCCCGTATAGCTATGTAATAATTGTACGTATATAATTTGTACAATATTAAAAAAAAATACGAAAAAGAAAAAAAACGCTCAACGATGTAGAAAGGTGTGTGCAGAGAAGAGTGTCTGTCTGCGTGTGTGTATGTGAGAGTGAGCGAGTGAGTGTGTGGCAAGGGGGGGTCCTGCGGCCGTCGCGAGCTGCGTGCAGACTGCGAGAGAGCCTGACCTCGCTGCGGACAAGTCGGACGATGAAAATTCATGTACCATATATTATATTTATTATATTTAAAAATATACGCTCCTGCTATATGAAGTTGAAAAAGAACGTGTTTTTTGCCCCGCTCGCGCTGCTATATGCTCGCGCGTGCAGAGCTGCACACCCACGCCTCTCCTGCTCGCACAGATACATATCCTTTGTCTCTCTCTCTCTCTCGCTCCGAGATTTTGATCTCTCCTCTTTCTCTCTCCGCGTCTTTCGCGCGCGCGATATAATAATAATCCTTCCCCGTGCGCGCAAATGACTGCCCGAGACAGGTCGAGTTGAGAAGAAGAAAACAGGAAAAAAAAAAAATTGTCAGCCAACAACTCCGAGTATTAAATCGGAGAGAGGGAGAGAGGGGCCACCAAAAAAGCAGCTTCGTTGCATATATATTCGATATATACTATATATGCATTTCTCTACTGCCACAACGATATATGTCGTCGCGTCCGTATCGCGCGAGCGCGTGCTGCTGCAGTTCTCCAACACGCAGCGGAGTTTTCTGCGCGAGACTTGCGCTGCTGGCTGGCTCTGCACGGCCGCGTGTTGTTGTGTGTATATAGCGTATATATGAGAGTGTGTGACATCATGAGCCCAGGAAGTGGACCGAAATAGACGGGTGAAAAAAATCAATTTCTCTCCTCTCTCTCTCGAGAGCTGCTGCTGGTCGCGCTTCAACACGAGAGCTGTGCGATCGAAGCTGAGTGGAGCTGAGTGGAGCTGAGCGAGCGAGAGAGAGAGAGAGAGAGAAAGTTTAGCGGAGCTGCAAGGAAGTTTCGCGCGCGCGGCACACGACAGGATGTCGTCGATTATTATCACTGGTGGCTGCTGCTGCTGCTGCTGCTACTCGTACTGAGAGAGTAAAGCTCGCATAAGAAGGCACCGCGGCGCGCTTCGTCAGCGGAGAGGCAGAGCGCTCCATTTAGCTCCAAGGGGCACTTATGCCGGGTAAGTCGAAATTAATAATCCATGCCATCTCGTTTATAAGCGGAGCTTTTTTCCACTCGATGTTACTATATATGTAAAGTCGAGTTGTTTTCGTCGCCGCGCGCGTCACCCGCAGCAGCTTACCTCTAAAATAATTATTTTACTTTTGGACACGCATGGAAAAATTCCACATCCGATATATTGGTACACACACATACAGTGGTATACTCCTCCACCTCTTGTTTCGCGGAAGATTCGCACGCGCGCGCGCGACACGCAAGGTTATGGTGCTGCTTCTCGTGCGAAAATATAATACATGCATTATACACTTGTAAAGATGTGTCAGAGCTTTGCGTGTGTGCGCGCGTGTGTGTATGTGTAAAAAGAAGACAGCCAGTTCTGCGCGCGTCTTTGTTTACATGCGCGGGTGATTTGTCGCATTATATACGGTACAGAGGAGTTATTACGCTCGATACAAAAAAGCGCGCGCGCGCGCCCGTCACCGCCGTATTTAATTATAATCCCGTATACTCGTAAGTACGCGCTTATAACGCGTAATGAGCGGATCTGGTGCGTGTTTATATATATAATAATATACGCACGCGCGCGTATTACAACCGCGCGGGGCCGCAGTCTTTCGCGATCAATGGGTTCGCTAAGATTTAAGCAACTTCATTAAGTAAAAGTAGTCTTTCGCAGTCGCTCTCCGCGCGGCCAGAGAGCTGTTTCATTCATCGATGCTTATAAGAGAGTAAAACGGGGAGAGAGAGAGAGAGAGGGTGCAGCACGTATAACGACTTCGGCCCCGTCGTCGTCTTCGTCTTCTTCTTACTGCCGCTGCTGCATGTAATGGTAAAATGCGTGGGGGGAGAGGAAAGGCCTCTCTCTCACTGGACTGCACGGTGTCGCAATAAATAACGCGCGCCCAGCAGAAAAACGAGTTATATAGACGCGGAGAGGGGATCGGCGGTCGCGTGTGTGTTCATTATACGTGCCCAAGACGCAGGCATATACACACAGCACACACGTCGTAATGCAATAAGCCAGCGCGCGGCACGCGCCGCTCGCGCGACCGAAGGCACGACCGGAAACGGCGCGAGGAAACTGCGAAAAAAATCGCGCTGCCCCTTCTCTCCTCTTATATACTTATTGCTCTCGCGGCGGCGTCCTCCCACGCAGGCCGTCAACTCCTTTGGCGACTGTACATGCCTGCCTGCCTCTCACTTACTCTTAAGTACAGGCACGGAGGCGCGGAGCGGACCGCGTATTATATATCCTTACGTAGAGTGTGGGAAGAGGAGAGGAAATAAACGCGAGAGAGAGACTATTATATACACGAATGTGTGTGTATGTGTACGTTTTAAAGCGCACACGGAGAAAAGGAGAGCGGCGGCGGAGCAGCAGCAAGCAGCATCATCGTCGTCATCTCCCGCGCGCGCCTCGTATCATAATATAAAAATTTTTTGAGCAACAATCTCCTCCGACATGTTTGCCAGGTACATCCGGCCAGCATCAGCAGCAGCAGGCCCAGCAGCAGCAGCACTACTACCACAGCGGTAGCCATGAGCACGAGCACGGAGGAGCGGGCTCGCACGCTGCTGGCCGATCTCGGCAAGGCCACCCTCCGGGGCATACGCAAGTGTCCCAAGTGCGGAGTCTACAATGGCTCGCGCGGCTCCAGCTGCAAGAACAAGAGCTGCCTGGCCGTCTTCAAGGAGTCTGCCTCCCAGGACAGCAACGGCAAGGCCCGAACTGCGTCGCTGGGCCCCAATGGGACCAGCAACAGCAGCAGTAGACTGGCCAGCGACGCCTGCAAGCTCGTCACGGGTAGCCAGGCCCAGGTTTACTCGGTCAGGGCGAGGGATCGCGGGCCCGATCATCGGGGCTTGGTGCAGTTGCCCGATGCCAACACCGCGACGACGGCTGCGACGACGACGACGATCGCCGAGACGGAGACCAGTGCCGCTACCGGTTGCATCGGTAACGATTCGGGACTGCTGCAGGCCGCTTCCGCCAACAGCGCGATCATGTGCTTCATCGATAGCTGCGAGAAAAATTACAAGAATAACGTTCTACAGTGCCATGTAAGTTGTTTTCTGTATTCGATCGCGTTTGCCATACTCGAGCGAAAAATGGGTAAACTTCAAAGTTACGTAGTTCGGTCGAAATTTATAACTTTAGAGACAAAAGAAAACAATATTTTTGATGATTCAAATGGTGTTTTCAGAATTTCGATCCGACCTTTTTTAATTGAGCTACGACACTTTGAAGTTTACTCTTTTCTTTTATTGTGATAGTTAAATCAATTAATTTTATTGTTCTTCTTCAGGAAAAAGACGCCGTCGACCCCGCTACGACGACCTCTTGTTGTCAACACGTGCAAGCGGCTTACCGCTGCTACGCCGAGGCGCAGCCGCTGACGCTGCGCAACTCCATACTGTCCTCGCTGAACGTCAATCAGGAGACCAAGCAGGAGATCTGGCTGCTGGCCACCGACTCGTCGGGGCCTCTGGTTCAGAGGGTGTCCAAGAACATCATGGCGGTCAAGTGCAAGGTGTCGCCCGAGCATCCCCTCGGCTATCTGCACTTCTCCTTCTTCACCACCAAGCTCAAGGACAGGGTGGATCATAAATTTTACTGCAGTTGCTCCTCTTTTAAGGTAGAAAAGCGTGTAATTATAATAGTAATCCGCATCGTTCATCGTGTTGCATTGACGTGATTTTTTTCTCTCTCTCTCGATTACAGACTGGTAAAGTAAGTGAAAACAGAACTGACGCCAGACGATGCGTACACTTTTACGCCTGTGTATGCGCATTTGCCAGCGATCCGAAATTAAGCGAAGAGTTTCAGTATTACATTAATTTGGATCAACTTAAGTTAAATCTCGAGGAATCTCTGGATTTTGGATTCAGTACCTGCGAGGCGGAGAAGCTTATTGAAATGGGTACGTGCAGCGAATATCTCTTCTCTCAATTTTACGAGTATTTTAATAATAATGGGTTTTTCGATTGATTTTTCAGATTTAGATAGTCTCTCAGATGATACTCATTTATTAATATTCCGCGATGACTCATTGGCTGTTCAAAATTTACCGACCGATAGATTGGATATCGATATTAATTTAGACGCAGCGCTATTGGCTGGAAGTATTGATTTAAAGGATAATAATTTATTATACGATGTAAGCGATACGCGAAATTTTTATACAAGTCGAGTATAATTATATCAACGATTAATCGATATTCAATTAATTTTACAGGTTAATAATATGGACGCAATTAGTCAGAATTCTTTTTGTGATGTTAATGCAATAAAAGTAATCAGCGACTCTATTTTGGTGAACGCCAACATAGAGAACATGATTGACAATCAGCCGATCCTCGATAACGTCCTCAAACAAACCGATGGTACAATGATAAAAGTCTTAGAGAATAATTTCATGCTAGATCCCGATAATCTTAAGTTCTTAGAAACCAACCCCCTACCCCTAGGCAACACAGATGATTTATTTAAATTGCCGATGGAGCAGAAGATATTACCGCCTATGAAGCGTGGCAGGGAAAAGAACAAATCGCCCTCGTCCATTGCAAATATTAATTCTATCGAGCGAAGAAAATCAAAAATCAAAACTTCATCCGGAGTTAGAAAGTATTACAATAACTCGAGTGAAAACATTGATGAAACCAGTACTAGTTTATCATTTACCAGCTGGTTAGTTGAAAATTTTTTTATCGTCAATTTTTAGTCAACTTCATCGATTAACTTGTTTTTCTATTCGACTTCACAGGTTGGCCTCGATAACGGAGCGCATCAATCAGACGATGCACTTTCAGTTCTCGGGCAAACCAGATCCGCTAGTCTTCCATGTGCCACAATCATTTTTCGAGTGCTTGCGAGAGCGCATCTCTTGCGGTGCCAAAAAGAAACGCTTACCAAACTCGACGAACGCGTTCGAGCGTCGCGAGGGTGTGCCCCTGGGTACTTTCACCAAGTACACCTGGCACATCACCAATGTCCTGCACGTTAAGAGCATCTTCGAGACGCCCCTCATGCCACTTGAGATTACCAAAAGTTTCATCCAGAACGCGGACGGAACTTACGAAGTTTACAAGAGGGAAGAGACTGAAATGGATAAGTATAGAAAGACGGAGAACAATCCGCTGATTAAGCCGCTGGAGCTGCAGACTTATTTGAAAGTTGGTGAGTGCAGAATTCGGGTTGAATTGCCGTAATTTATTAATGAATCTTCTAACGTTGATCATTCTTTTTTACTTTAGGTAATATATCTCCTCATCAAACTCAACCAACGCCGTTCATCATAGAATGGATTCCGGATATATTACCCGTATCTAAAATTGGCGAACTTAAAATAATGTTTGAATTCGGAAAAAACGATTCCTCTCAGAAGTATCGGAAATTCGCCCAATCTAAAAATTGTTAAACCTTTTTAGAGAAAACTTTTGTGATGTTAAAACATTCATAATCATTGTTGACTGCGTCTTTTACGACAGGCTTGAAATGATATTTTTTATTATGGACTGCTTATTTACTAATATAATATATTTTAATGCGCAACTAACAAATGACAAAAATCAATTTCTTAAGTGGAAATAGTTCATGCAACAGATTGGAAAATTTCCCAATTATGTTTTTGCGTAGCCATGTTCAATTTACTGTGAAATTTTAAGTTAATGTAATATTTCCACCAGAGAGTGATAATATTTTTATATATGTTTATATTTTAATGTTTTATTTTTAAATATAAGTTGAGATGCATATTTTTGAACAAATGTTAAATTATCTACGAGTGCCTAATGTTGAAAAGAAATCTATATCTACAAAAATATAAATATATTTATTCTATAAAGTTACGCTGATATCTATTTGAGAGAAAAAGAGAATATTTAAGAAAAATTAATTAATAACTGCGACATCTAATGCTTAATACTTAATATAAACCAAATCGATCTTGAATAATTGATGTAAGAATAGATTTAAAAAAAATAACTTGATCTTTATTTGCCATTAATAATAATAATAATAATGATAATAACATATTGCATTGTAAATCTATTTACAAATAAGATTTATTTTAATATGATATCTCATCAAATTTTGATTGGCTTCCTTAAAATTTGAATCAAAAAGCCATAAACCTATCAATATATAATCATCAGTATTTGGTGTCAAAAAAAAAAAATAAAGCTTATTACTTTGATGCTTACTCTATCAGTGTCTCTGATTATTAAACCTTTTGACAAGTTTTTTTTTCAATGTACATTTTAAGTTTCTATTTAACTTAGTTAATAATTACACATACAGTACTTTTCAAGTTGGGGGAGTTGAAAAGCTATTCATAAGTACTTATAATATCACATGGAATTTACATAAAATACGTAAGTAATTTTTGAATCAAGGTTCTAAATGTTAATAATATACAGACTGTTAAATGTTTATAACCATACAAGTTATAAGTCCATTCAAATTGAAATATCATAATTGGTTTGTACTAATGCAATTACTTGCGAATCATCGAATCGCAGCTTCAGAAGTCATCGTGTCCATTATTAACTGTAGCCCAGAGGCACACCGCTGTACTCCATTTGTTTCGTGTAATAGTCATGTGGCGCTTTGATGATACGCAGATTCACTCTGTTCGAAGAGACTGTCTCTATCGGTTGAAAAAACGTGCAAGGTCTCTCGCCCATGTAATACTCGTTGCTATCGTAGGGTGGACTCAGCACGTCGAGGAACGCAGCTGGACCCTGCAGACAAGTGATCTCGTGGAGGTTCTTGTCCGTCGGGGTCAACACCATCGCGTTGGAATCCTGATCGCATGTCACTGGCTCGTGGACGATCGCCTCCACGTAGTCGCCGAGTTGAAAGTTATCTTGCCGTTGAGTGTCCTCCAACGAGTAGGTCTTCACTGACACGGTACCACAGATGACCTGTAGAACATAATTTTCAAAAATAATCGCTCCGACAACAAGCAAGAAGTTCATCGAATCGTACCTTGAGCAGACCGTGCATCTGCGGATGATCGTGCAGGGGCATCGTCGAGCCCTCCTTGAGCAGAAACACCGACACGGTGAAGTCCGGATCCTGATAGATGTCCATGTTGAATATGGGCGCGAATCCCAGCCTGACCTGCAGCAGCTTCATGTCGTCGATGCCGACGTCCTCGGCCCTGATCTCGTTGATGGCGCTCTGCAGCTCCTCGAAATTTTTCGCCGAGAAGCCCCAGTTGTGGGACCATCGGCTGGAAAACGTCTTGGCCGCCTGTCTCCAGAGAGTTTCCATTTTCGATGCCATGACGTCTATATACAAGGTTATCTCCTGCCTCTGCGAGCGTAAACAAACGACTGGCGAGTTCTATTTTTGGTATACCAATCACTTCACCAGCGGCAGCACTTGTAATTACTATTATTATTTTCTACGACGATTGCGACAAGTGGCTATCCAAAAAGTTTCAAGTGCCGCGTTGTGTATTCGAAATTGGATAGTCGAATCCTATAATCTTGCAGACAGCTGCACGCACGTCAAGTGTCACGAGACACTTGATCCACCACTGCCTCTCGTATATCACTGGCAGTCGATCATGCTTCCCTTTTCCGTCCCCCAAAAACACTTTTCATTCACGAAACAAAAAAGCAAAATTCACCACGCGGCGGTAGGTTGATAAATAATCCAACTGCATCCGAAGCATCTAGCAGCCGAAGTCCGAACGTGTACTATAATGATGATGATGACGACGATGAAACGCGCCCCTTCAGTCAGACCAACCCGTTCTACTTGTTGTATGCATATACCTTATACATCGCGGCGCGCGACGCTCGTGTCGCGGCGTAGTGCACATATAAACTGCAGTCGGCGCTTATAATAGCGCACACACTCCTAACTAAGCACACATCGTAGCGGAAATTTCACGGAAGTCCGGAGTGTATATAGTGCAGCGGCGGCGGCGGCGGCGGAGCAGTAGGCAATAATATAATCTCTTTGCGTGTGCGTGTCGTGTGCATGTAGGATATATTTTTGCGGGACGACGACGATGATGCGCGCGGTATTCCTCGTTATTATTACTGCTCGGACGCACGAAAGCCGATGATTCGTGTTGTTTTATCGAAACGAAACGAGCGCGACGGCTAAAGAGTAGTTAGAGTGTGTTATATTTATAAAACGAACGACGCGAACACCAACAATGAGACCGGAAACAGCCGCCGACGCTGCGAGCTCGTGTCTCCTTGACGCTACGGCCGCTGCTGCTGTTGCTTCTGCTGCTAATCCAAGTATTTGTATTAAATAAATAAAAAAAGAAGAAAAAAAAAACAAGATAAACAAAAATCTGTCAGCCGCAGCAGCCGCAGTATTATAGCACAGAGATAGGCTCGACCGCGCCGCCTGCCTGGCTGCTGGACCAGCTGTTGATTCGCTTCTGTACAGAAGAATTTCGGTGCGTGTGTGCGTGCTTGCGAGAGAGGAATCGGCGATCACATATATTTATTATTATTTTGCCGTGCGGTGCTGCTGTATACTTGCGAGAGCATCGCAAGTGCCGAGAAGAGACAGAGAGATGGCCATGTCTCGAGATTAGGCTCTATAACCCCTCCTCTGCTCCGTCGCTCTCATTGCCGCCCTTAACGGTTTTATATACACACGGTGAGTATGTGTGTTATGATGTTCCGAAAATGAAGACACACACATAGACACACACGCATGATTTTGATTTTGAATTTTCGGGAACGGGACCCCAAACATAACACAAGTATCCGTACTAGCGGTACAACATACACACGCCTCTTTTCGGCTGCTTGTGTCGTTTTCGGTTTTCAATCCGGCTGTAACAGTCGATCCGGCAGGGTCGCGACACAGTTTTTTTTTTCCACTTACCACGAGAATCGCTGTGATTTTTTTTTTTCGTCTTCTTCTTCTTTTCTATATAATAAGTAGAATATATAATTTCGTAATTCGTGTGCGCGACGCTTTCTCTCGTCTGTCTCGCTCGCCTCTATCTGTCTATAATACACTTGTGCCTTGCGTGAATAAATTTTACCAAAAAAAATGTTTTCTGCCTCGAAGATCACCAAAACTTTCGATGACTTTTTCGCTTCTCTCTCACGCCGCAGAAAGTTAGTTTTTCCCGTTGTTGTGTAAATAAATGTGTTCGTGTTCGAATCCATCGTGTCTCTGTTGTTTTCGTCGTGTAAATACACATACATACATACACACAAATCTCATCTATCTGTGCCGTTTACACAAAATTTCACTGTGCCAAAAATAATAACGTGATAATAATATAGTTAGAAAAATTAACAATGGCGAAATTGTTTAATTATGTTATTAGAAAATACACAAACATGAATGAAGTAGTGATTCCCGAAGTGGAGCAGACCGTTGGTCAGCTTGAAAGGGGCACTGTGGTCACAAAGTTTTTCTCCAAAAGAAAGCCAGAGAAGAAAACTTTGATGATTCGCAGAGAAACTAGACAAATTGTGTGGACCAGAACTGGAACTACGAGTCCTTACGAAGGAAGAGGTAAAGCTTTTTTTTTCTTTTTTATTAAACCAACTGAGTTGAAAGATAAAAATACTTATTTTCATTTGCAGTGGACATGAGAGAAATCAAAGAAATTCGATTGGGGAAAAATTCAAAAGACTTTGAAAAGTGGCCTGATGAGTCAAAAAAACTGGATAATGTTAGGTGTTTTGTTGTTTATTATGGAAATGAGTTCAGACTCAAAACTCTGTCCATAGCAGGTAAATATAAAACTCACACACTTGTAACAAGCTTTTCCATTTTTTTTTAATTTATTGATTATTTACTAGCTCTGAGTGAAAAAGAATGCGAACTTTGGGTCAAAGGTCTTAGATATCTAGTTCAAGACACAATTAATGCAACATATCCTTTGCAAGTTGAAAGATGGTTGAGAAAAGAATTTTACAGCATGGAAAACTCCAATGAAGTGTAATTATCAGACAAACTATTAATCTTTTGATGAAATTCTACTCATTATTATAATTAACCATATTTATTTATTTTAGAATATCGTTGAAAGATATGAAAGCTTTTCTACCTAGGGTAAATTATAAAATTCCAACCAATAGATTGAGGGAACTTTTTCAAGAAGTTGATATAAGGCACAGAGGAGAAATTGGATTTGACGATTTTGTTAAACTATATCACAAATTAATTTTCGATAATTGTGTAAGTATTATAGATATTAAGATACAATTATTTAACAAAAAAATGTATAAATCTCACCAACTCATGTATCATTTCAGATATTGGAAGTAGATTACTCAAAATTATTACAGTACACAATAAAGAACTCAGATGTTCGAATTATCCCATTGCAGAGATTTCAAAAGTTTTTGAAAGAACAACAAAATGATCCTCTCAGTCTTTCTGAAGATTATGTTTCAGACTTTATGAGAAAATATTTAGATGATGTTCACAGGGATGTACAAGAACCATATTTTACTTTTGAAGAGTTTATTGATTTTCTATTTTCTAATAGAAATGATATTTGGGACAATACTAATGATGATATTTATCAAGATATGAATAAGCCTTTATCTTATTATTGGGTCGCATCATCACACAATACGTAATATAGAATTTTAAATCACTTCACATTTTCTTTTTCTTATTTTTTAATAATGTGTCATTTAAAATTTTTCAATTTAGGTATCTGATGGGCGATCAGATAAGCAGTGAAAGTAGTTGTCAAGCTTATGTTAGAGCTTTAAGAGCTGGATGTCGATGCATTGAATTAGATTGTTGGGATGGACCCGATGGGATGCCTTTTATATTCCATGGTCATACTCTTACAACGAAAATCAAGTTTATAGATGTTATAAGAACGATCAAAGAGCACGCTTTTGCCACTTCTGAGTATGTCTAGGACAAAAATTTTTTTACCAATTCATAGTTTTGAAAAATCTCTAACGTGAGTCTTGCTATTTTAGATATCCTGTTATTCTTTCTATTGAAGATAACTGCACATTAGTACAACAACGAAAAATGGCAAAGTTAATGCAGGAAACTTTTGGGGACATGTTGCAAAGTATGCCAGTAGATAAGAATGAAGCAGCTCTTCCATCACCAGCTGCCCTGAAAAGAAAAATCTTATTGAAGCACAAAAAACTACCTGATGGTGGAGATGAAAGTTCCTTTGTAGTTCGTAACGACGAGTCGCGAAAAGAATTGGATTTGAGGAGTACAATAAAAAATGGGATTTTGTATCTGGAAGATCCTGTTGACCGAACATGGAATCCACACTTTTTTGTACTAACTCAGCAAAAATTATTCTACACCGACACATTTCATCGAGGCCAAGAGGTTGAAGACGAAGATGACAGCAGTTCGAATAAACAAGAAGTACGTTAGGTTCATTTTTTCATTAGAAAAAATAGTATTAAAAACCCGATATAACAATTATACTTGTAACAGCAGGGACGTCCTACTGAGGAACTTCATTTTGGGGAAATGTGGTTCCATGGGAGATTGCCCAATGGTCGACTGGAGGCTGAAGAAATTCTGCGCAGGTACTCGTATCTCGGGGATGGAACGTTTTTGGTCAGAGAATGCGTGACATTTGTGGGCGATTATTGTCTATCTTTTTGGAGAAAAGATAAAGTTAACCATTGTAGAATTAAGTGCAAGCAAGAGGGAAACGTAACATCTTATTATCTCATAGAGCCGCACTGTTTTGACAGCCTATACAGTCTTATAACGCATTATCGTTCCTATCCGTTAAAAAGCCAGGTAAGAATCCTCATGACGTATTAAATAATATCCTTCAGTAAAAACGAAAAAGATAATGTTAGAAAAGTTGATTGTAACATTTTTAAAATTGACACATGAATAATTTTACACTGTTGATCTGTTTCAATAATACACTATCAGAAGCAACAATTAAAGAACAGGTAAAATCTGGGTTTTGACAAATCAGAGTATTTTTATTTTCATTTATTGAGTTCTAGATTTTGAAAAGTATAGTAGAAAATTGAGTAAGCAATTTTTCAACATGTACAATTCATGTAGAAACTTGAAAAATTAGACACACAGTATGCGTAGTATATTATTATCTTTACCAAAATAAAATTAATCGTTTTAGCAAGTATTTTATAGAAAATATTTGTGAGCTTCGCTCGAAAGTATTACTAATGATTACTCGTAAAATTTCAACAGGAGTTTAAGATTAAACTGGCCGAGCCAGCTCCGCAACCGGCGAAACACGAGGATCAAGTATGGTGGGATCCGTCCTGTTCGAGAAGCGAAGCCGAGGATCTGTTGAAACGCATACCCGAGGACGGCGCGTTCATGGTCAGAAAAAGTGAAAAAGAGAACAACAGCTACGTTCTGTCTTTCAGGTATATATTTTCGAATCAAAGCTGTTCTCGTTGTAGCTCGGAAGTATCGAGACTTGTATTTTCATTTTAATTATCGTATCTTTTTGCTGCTTCGCAGAGCCGAGAGCCAAATAAAACATTGTCGTATCAAGTTGGAGGGACGACTGTACACGATCGGCGCGGAGCAGTACGAGAGCTTGGTCACTCTGATCAACGATCACATAGCCAACCCACTGTACAACAAAGTCAAGTTGACTCGTGCCGTAAACAGGAGCATGATGAAGCAACGAGACTTGGTGAGCATTCCGAATAACAATGCCGAAATCAACTCAATTTTTCAATTTTCTAATTTTGTTCTTTCTTTAAAGCAGATTCCAGACGACGGGTCGGTATATGCGATCCCAGGATACATGGACCCCGCCACGTTGGATAAGAAAATCACCTGCAAGGCGATGTTCGATTACATCGCCCAAAAGGACGACGAGTTGACCTTCGTCAAGCACGCCATCATCCACAACGTGAACAAGTGCGAAGGTGGTTGGTGGCGAGGTGATTACGGCGGCAAAAAGCAGCACTGGTTCCCGTCAAATTACGTCGAGGAAATAAACGAGGACGATGTAAGTTTTTTTTTTTTTTGACTAACGAGAAACCAAGCGAAATGGATCTAACTCGTAATAATCGAACGTTAATTGATTTCAGACATCCGATTCGTTGCTCTTGGGCAATTGGCAAAAAGGCTCCCTGGACATCGTCGGTGCCTCTTGCGAGGTGATACAATCCGACCATCTGCATTCCACCGACTTTTCGCACATTCTGCGAATTCACAATCCAGCCGCGTGCTCGGTCTTCGAGGCCGGCGCCAAAGGCAAGGAATACGCTTACAGTTGGATGGACAACATTCAGCAGACCGGCCAGAACGCCAGTTTTCGCGAGAGCAAGCACAAAGAGATCGAGAGGGCCTGGAAGATAGCGAAGGAAATGTCGAACCTCATCGTCTACTTCCGCTCGGTGACCCTGAATCTCGAGAAGCTGCGCAGCAAGGGATTCGTCTACTACGAGATGAGCAGCTTCCCGGAGAGCAAGGCCGAGAAGCTGTTCCAGCAGGAGCGCCGTTTCTTTTTGAAGTATCACCAGGTCCAGTTCAGTCGGGTCTATCCCAAGGGCCAGCGAATCGACTCGTCCAATTACAATCCTCTGCCGATGTGGAACAGCGGCTGCCAGATGGTCGCGCTGAATTATCAGACGGGCGACAAGGCCATGCAACTGAATCACGCCAAGTTCCGCGACAACGGCGGCTGCGGATACCTCCTGAAGCCGAGCTTCATGTTCCATCAGGACTACGATCCCTATGACAAAAACTCCTTGGTCGGCGTGGAGACGTGGAAGATCACGATAGGCTTGATCGGGGCGAGACACCTGCACAGGGCCAACAGAGGCACGGCCAGTCCCTTCGTGCAGGTCGAGGTTCTGGGAGCGGACTACGATAGCGGGGTAAAATTGCAGGCCAGGACAGTAGGTAGGTGTCGACGATGGAAGAATTTTTTTTAAGGTACATCGTTCTGAACGTGCATTTTCTCGCATTACAGCGGACAATGGCTTCAATCCAATGTGGACGGAATCGTGCGAATTTTACGTGTATAATCCGTATTTAGCTATGATTCGTTTCGTCGTACAAGACGAAGATATGTTTGGCGACAGTGATTTCATTGGCCAAGCTACATACCCTGTAAGTATTCGTAGCAAAATGTATATGCATTTCGTTTGCTTTGAACTATATTTAACTCGTTTATTACGTTTTTAGGTTCGATGCATGAGGACCGGATACAGAAGCGTGTCTCTGAGAAATAACTACAGCGAATATCTCGAACTGGCGTCACTGCTGGTCCACGTGCAGATTACTGAGATTCCGAGCACTCAATTGTAAAAATAATTATTATAATTAATGAACGCTCGTCTTATGGCTTCGATCCCCAAAGATTAATGAAACTAGACACCGAGGACTTGATAAGTAACGTTAAAAAAATCAGACACCGTTGATTCTACAACGTCTTGAATGTGGCTTTAGTCGTGTTAAAAAAGAAAAAAAATATATCAACCGATAGGTATTAACGAAAGCTTTTAATGTACCAGTACAAAGATGCAAAGTTTTTTTTATTACTGCGCTTTCAACTTTATCCTCCTGATGAGATTTATATACGAAAAAAAAAAAACTGGCCTCGTTTACATGTCCAGTCTAACGTTGTATTTTTAACCGTATACCCGTTGAATCGCGTGTAGAATTAATTTATTTTAAACTAAATAGAGCTTATTGCTGATTTTAGACGAAACAAAACGCCGCACGAAACGAAAAAAAAAACTTTATTGCCAATCAGTGGCAATATATTTTTTGTAAACGAAATATATTTGTTTTTTTTTTTTTTTTTCATGACGATTTTTTTAAAATATATAGATTATATACTTATACGATAGCTTTACGATTGCCGCAATATTTTTGTATCTATGTATTGTCAAAAAAAAAAAAAAGAAAAAGAAACGATGTCAATGTTCTTCCGTTGCTATTTTTTTATGGAAAAGAACTTGTGATTCTGTGTCCAGTGCAATTAAGAATGCAATTAAAGTCTTATACATAATGAAAAAATAAAAATACTAAGTAATTATACGTTAACCGTTAGTGTAAATCGATTAATCGATCGTTGTAGCGTCAATTTTTTGTGAATATATACAATATACAGATATCGAAAAACCAACCGCTATCCGATTGTCTCGTTATTTTTGAATCCTTGAATACAAGTTATTATATAGTGACGAGTCACTAACGGCGATCGCTCCTGCGCGGTGGTGGCGCCTGCACGAATGATAACGCCGGGAGCTCACCTGTACACGGCACAAGACATACAGCAATAATAACAATAATAATAACAATACCATCTAAGCTGCGCAAAGTGAAAGGTTCGCCTCGCGCGGCCCGAGACGTCGCTCTCTCTCTCTCTCTATTCCCTCCCATTTATAACGTAAAGGTGAATTCGCTCGCTCGCCGTCGTTGGCTGCAGTCGGAGTCGGAACGCGAAGAAGAAGACGACGACTCGAGTTTCATCGCTGCACATTGTCGAGAGAGTCTCTGACAGTCAGTCGGTGTATTATAGTATACAATACATATATAGACACAGAGGCCCCGCACAGTTTTTCTTCGGTCGCCGCGAGTTCGTCGCAGCTGCGATTATTATCATCGTATCGCAGTGAGAGAGAGAGGCCAACGTGTGTCGTGTGGGTGCTGCTGCCTCTTCTTTTTTGTGCGTTCAAGTGTTTGTGTTGTTATTGTTGTTGTTATTTTATGTATACAAGTGTGTCACGCACGAATAAATGTTAATTAATTAAACCGAGAGAGGATCGTGTGCGTCGTCGTTGCAGTTTCGCGTTGTGTGCTTCGTGTGCGTTTGTTGTATACCGAAAAAAAGTCGCGCTGCGCGACTGTCTCTCTCTATCTCTGCCTGTGCACAGCATCCGAGAGAGAGAGAGAGAAAGGGTTGAATAACATCCGCAGGTGAGTGACCCTCTTTTATTCATCATCGTGTCGGTTCGCGACTTTTGGCGCGCGTCAAAAAGCCTCTCTCTCAACTCTCGCATGTATATACATTAGTAGTACATACATGCATGCAGTCTCTCGAAATGTATACAGACAGCAGCAGACAGTATATAAGACAGACTGACAGTGGAGCAGTTTGATGCCTGTGTCGTCGTTGCTGCTACTGTATCGTGTATACATAAGATTTAATAACTCGGGCTCTCTTTCATTAGCGATGTGTGTACAGTTCGGAGGCACATATAATGTTATAATGTACATACTCACAGACGGTGGGCGTCTGCTGCTCTGCTGCGCGCCGTTGCACATAATACACACACATATTCTCACACTGTGTATTATATACCTCACGATGTCGCAAGCTGGATAGCCGATATTGATACTGTATATTAAATTTTAGCGATATAATAACGAAATTATACGTGTAGCTGTGTTCTCCGGTGCGCTCGAGGACACGAAATTTCGTTTCTCGTCATTATACGGAGGTTAAACGTCATGTAGCTGCAATTGCAGCTCTGCTGTTGTTGTTTAAACGTAAAACATTAGATTATAGCGCTCCTTTTTGCCTATATACGGGACTACATTTGAGATATTATTACGGAGGAAAAAGGGAATGTAGAACGTGTTTCTTTCTCTCTATGTCTGTGTGTGCGTTTGCGTACGTGTGTGTGTGTGTGTGCGTGCAAGCGAGCGATGGTGCATCTATGCAAGCGAGAGAAAAGTGCAGCGCTTTACGCTGCGCTGGCTACGCGTTATGCGAGTGAAATGTCGTTCTCTTTCTCTCTCTCCCTCGCTAACTCTTTCAGGCTTTTATAGTGTAGCAGTATCCTATCTATGCACTCGCGCGAGTGCAGCAGCAGTTTATATATATAATATTCGCGCGCATGTGGCAGCGATATTTTTATTACATATAGTATATATACAGCCTGTGGTGCCTCCGCCACTGCTGCACTAATCGCGGAAATTAATCGTGCCGCATTAACTAAAGCCTGGTAAATGTCGTTATCTCAATCTTTTGTAATTGAAGAAGATAGAAACCTTTTTAGAGGAATTACAAACTGTGTCTGTTTGTGCGAGTGTGCGCATGGTGAATCATGTGGGTGGACGTGTCAAGTCGGTTGATAAAACAACTCTGCCTCCTACGAGATAACGCGTTGCAATTGTGTCTCTCTCTCTTTTTTTTTGGACAGTTATTGTTTGGGGGCACGTGTTTGTGTGTGTGTGTGTGTGTGTGTGTGCGAGCGTACGGTAATTTACTTTCATTAACGCGCTGGTTCGTCACTGGTCAAGAAACTCGTGAGCTAATGCGTACACGAAAGTGTCCGTGTGTGCTTAGGATGTGGAGCTCTATTTGAAAGGCGTAAGAAAACTGGTTGGAGCAGTAACGATAGATTTATCTACTTATGTTTCTACTGCTGCTGCTGGAAAACCGTAGCCATAGTGACTTTTCTTTTTTCTCTGTCTCCCCGATTGATCGCCAGGCGGTCTTGAGCTTCGGTAGAAAGTATATTCATTTTTTGTTCGTATCCACATTTGAATGGGGGAGGCAAAAAAAAAATTGGTAAAGTAAAATTGCCTATAAGGTAGGAAAATTGTTGGCCAGTTTTTTTTGCGACTTTTTCAATCGACAGGTAACATTTCTGCAAGCGAGTGAAAGTATTAATTTTTACAACTGCTTATCATCTCTTCCTAAAATACGCATTAGATTTCTCTTTACAAAGATAAGTAGTTTTTTCTTCTTTTTCAATTTCAAATTTAAAGAAAGGAAAATGACGATGATCGAGTACAGCAGGTCGATTGGAAAATTGACTCATCCTGCATCATTGAATCCTTGTGACATTTATTCCTCGAAGCTTTCCTCCTCGAATCGTTGAAATATAATAATGAACTATACTGCGGCCGTCGTTCGCTGTGTGCGGCATTACTTCCTTCCGCAGCGTTGGCATATTCAACAACAAGAATGTCATATATACGTATTTAATAATGCGCGGTGTACATTGACTCTTATGTGATATAAAAAAATTTATATCATATACACATATTTTACTTTATTTACGGAAAAGAAAATATTACATACCCGCGAGTTACACACCGAGTAACTCGGGGCAAGGTGGAAAAGAAGAGAACGATGAAAAAAAAAACGTACACACGCTCCGCGATACCTTTTTTTCCTCGTCACAAGTATATCCGTATCTCGTGGGAAATCGTACTGTTTTTGCAAAACAAACGGGTTCGCGCGCGTTCGTTGCATATACAGCGTTGTTGTTTATCATCGTTGCACCTACGAAAAAAAAAATACTCTGGAATATTTTTTCGTAAAATAGTAAACTCCGGTGTGCGCGCGCGGGTGAGTCGCGCGACGTAAAAAATAGTAAAAAAATAGTAATAATGGATTGTGTAAGTGACTAATTACCGTGTGGCGCGAAGGTCGCGACGATTATTATCTCCTCTCGCGTATATAAATATATACGCGATGTACGCTCGGATGCACGTGATTTGGCATTAAGGAAGGAGTAACAGTCGAAGAATAAAAAACTGAACCGACTTCGCGCGAATGAATGAAGCTGCTTGTGTTGGACGTCGTTGTTCTTACGGTTACGATCGGCTAGTTATACGCCTTTGATCGCGTAACGCCGCACGAGCGTAATTTTCGTCTTTCGAATATATATATTCGGCACGTCGCGGTGGTAGACTTTGCGAAATTGTCCGTATAGCTATTTATTCGTATACAAGTATCGAACACCGTATTATATTATTACCGTATTAATGCTTGCGTAACGCGGCGCAGCAGCGACGAAACTTTAATATTATGCGGTGCTCATTGTTGTTGTAGTTGTAGTTGTTGTTTCGTAGTATCGTAAGGTTCGGCGCGCGGATTTCTCGCATTCCACTGAATGTGTACAAGTGCATCCTTTTCTAAATATATCAGGTCGCTTCTCCCCGATTTCTTTTCTCGAATTAGAGACCGAAGCTTATACCAAAAATGTCACATGCATCGGTTAAATCTCGTACGCATCGAAACTTTCCTTAAAAAAAAAAAGCAAAGGTTTATAAAATTGCCAACTGGCAGCGGCTCTAATTCGATTTTTCTCTCTTTCCTTTTATTTTTGCCGCTCGCCGTGCGCCATGATATTAGTCCGCGTGTATACCTATATATGTATAATATAAGCGCTCCACATGCTCAGTCATACATATTCAAGCCAACTAGCGTCAATTAGTTTTGCACGTACATATATATATCGTTGTCGATGGCACACATATAACACCTTTTTTACGTTTTATCGTCGTGCACGTTGTAGCAAATTTCACGTTCTCGCGGCTATCGCTGCGGAGATTCATTTACATGTAAAATTATTCGATACGTTTTTTTTTTACGGCTCGATTAGTATCATTGTTTTCCGGAATTCTTCGTTTCTATCGTTCTAAATTCTCGAACGTCAACGAGGGAAAAAAGGGAAGAGAGAAGTTTTAAAATTTACATGTATGCGCATTGCTCAATTTCGGTATATATCTATGCGCGAGAGAAGCTGCGTCGACAACCTGTACTCTTTCTCTTTACTATACCTATTATATAGACGCGCTATACATGTATATTCATTGAAGTATCGTATCAATAATTCATGAAGTTTGGCTCGCGAGCAGCTCTCCGAACTAGCTTGACACGATTTTCGCGCGCGGGTCTCGCGCAGTACAAAGGCGTGTACGATATAACACGATATAGTTACTGGTAAATATTTCATATTTGTATACTCCTTCCGTTCAAAACTTTGCAGAAGAAGAAAAGTCAGGGAAGGAAATTAAATGATGGTTCAAACGAATGTAGGAGAGGATGAGAGAACGAAACTACATAGGAAAGAAAATTAATGAACGATCAAGTGATCTTTATCTCTCGTTTCCTAAATCAAGTACCATTTTTTCTCGCCTAGCTCAAAATTTCACCTCACAAGAAGTATATATATCGGTACGAGACGACAGAGAAAGACGAAAAGTCGATGTCAAGTGTATATAATATACCTAGCGAAACCGTTACAAGATACACTTATATGGAATAATCTTTTTTTTTTTTTCGTTGCCCATATGATGAACCGTAAGACTACGCGAGAGACCTACATATTATCCATCACGTATAGGTACACAGTATATATTACACACATCCAACTTGGCTTGTCTGCTCATCCAAATGACTCTCGTGTGTTTTGGGCTCGTTTCATCCCATTTGATTTCCACCTGTTTTTCATTATCGCGACACGCCTCTCGTTTTGCGATCGATTCGCGAGAGCTTCCTTCGTCCATTATAATATTATAATGTATACATATATACGCACCGCGATCAAACGAGGTACTATAATTGCCTCCTCGCTCGTAAATAAAAGAGGGAGAGGTGTACACACACACAAAAAAAAAGGAACGAGGTAGATATGGCATCGAAACAATAAGAGCACACACACACACACACACACACACACATGCAACGCGAATAAATGTGTATCACGTTGTACGCGGCGTGGGAGAGAAAGCTTCCGTGCGTCGCGCGCCGTTTTCCCACAGGCGCGCGCGCACACACAGACACACATCCGCGAATCTACGTCGCGGCGCGTCTCGAGAGCGGCGCGCGATTATTATGAAAAAACAACATTTAAAGCAGTCAGGCCAAGGTAAAGGAGATCCTCTAACACATCCTTTTAACGATTTTATTTTCTACGATGGTCCAGTTTTCTCGTTGTTGTCGTTTTTGACATCGATGCGCCGATGCGCTCGCCTATACTAATGAGCTCGAATTAGCCGCACGTGTATGATGTACAACGATCGTTATATATATTTTTAGAAACTCGCGTCGAGCCTTGGAAAAAAAAATGAAAAAAAAATTGTTTACACGCGCGCGAGCGAAGGTAAAAAAAATGAAGAAAAATAAATAGTAGACGACACAATGGCAATTATTATCGATATATTTGCCGATCGTATATATTTTGTACGAAAGAAACGCAAAAAGCAAAAGTTGATATATAGCAACAGAGGCAGGATCCCGAGCTAGTAGCCTCTGCGTAGAACAGGTTTTTATACGTATTCAAAATGTACAGACACTTGCTCATCTCTCTCCTTCGTCTCGGATGAATCATCGGTGCGCGCGATCATCGTCGTCATCTCGAACTCCGCTTTGAAGAAAAAAAAAAAGTATCCGTGCGTGTATATACGCGAGCATCGCAAGTGTAACGGTTTTGTCGTTTATATGGTATATATAAGTACTCTCAAGTACAAGTGCACCGAAGCTTCGTACATACGTACCATGCCTTGCACACACGACGCACGCGGAGCGAGTCTAAAAAGGCAAATTGAAGCTCTCGTAATATATTTGTAACGATGCTTTTCAACTTCGGCGTGTACCATATATACACGCGCACGCACATTCGTCTAACGCCGCGCGAGTGACCGATAAATGTGTGCCGTGCGCGCCGTTATTATATTATATATATGTTATAAGCCTGCAACGTGTCTGCCTCTATGTACGTGTTCGTGGTGTAATATGATGGCTGTGCGGTGCGCTGATCGCTATAAAGCCAAAGACACCGACATTGACATCGTTTCGGGAAAGGAAAGAGAAGAAAAAAAATAATCGATGATAAACGTGTGTGTGTTACGTTAGTGTGCTATAAGTATACATTGATACCTGTCTATGTGTGTATGTACGTAATGTACGTAATGTACGAAACACGGTATCGCACCGACGGTGTTGTATATAGTGGTAGATATGTATCGAAACAAATAAAAAAAAAAAGAGAGAAGTAGTGCGCGGGTAACGATCCGCGAGAGACGATAAAGAGGCTACGATTTTTTTCTTTTGATTTTTTTGTACATTATACGCACTATCGACGCGCGCGCGATTGAAATTTTTTGGATAATACGCGATTCGTCGAGCGTTTATTAGTATTGTATACATCGAACGGAAGTTCCGTATAGGTACTCTGATTGTTTTTACACGAACGATTGCGACACGCGTGCGCGAGTGCGTATTATATTATTATTATACAATCGGCAAAGTGGAGCATTATACATTCGCCGCGTATTATTATTGCACGCGCGGGAATTGCGCGCGCGAAAATGACCGGTATCCATATGCGTTATTAAATAGCAGATAAATGACAGTAGCAAATACACACACACCTATCTTCGAAGCTCCGATTTATATTTTTCTCTCTTTTTTTTGTTCCTCTTGCGCAACAGGTTTAAATGTGTGTGTGTGTGCGTGCGTGTGCGTGATGATGATGATTCACCACAGATGCATCGGCAGCTCATAATCTCATTTAAATGCTGTGTATTACTCCTCGTCGCGTGGAGCACGAAGCTGCAGCAACAGCAGCGGTAGCGCTACGATATCGCAATTTACGATATTCCGTGCCTCGAGAGTGAAAGGATCTCCGATTATTACCAGTTATGATTATTGTAAATGGCGTAAATCACGATTGAATTTCTTACTCGAATTCGCGTAGGTTCGCGTCGATTTGAATAATAACGATGAATTTTTTTATATCGGAGAACGAAAAACGGAGCCTCGAGTGCCTTTTTTCCTTTCTCTCTGGTCTCCGTTCATAAAATATATGCGCGCGCTTAGCCATTATACCTATATACCTCGACCACTCCCACGCAATGTACATATAGAAGTAGTTCGTTAAAAAAAAAAAAAAGAAAAAAAAACGCGAGCATCGAACGCGTGTGCGTGCCATAGGCAAATCGAAGCTAGACAGCTCTCGCGGCAGCGCAGCGCGGTGCGTTATGTCATGCACACACGTCAAAATAAAAAAAAAAAAAAAAAAAAAAAAAAAAAAAAAAAAAAGAAACAAATGAAAGAGAACGTGTACGTACGATTTGTCAATTGTACAGCACGCAGCGGCGCTCTACATAACTCTTTTCTGTCTCTCTGTCTCTCTCGATCGTCGCGGATTTCTCGTTCTATTATTGTTGTTGTATCGTTTTGATAGAGTCTCGCGTGGGTGGGTGTGTGTGTGTGTTTGTGTGTAAGTGCCGTATAGGATTTAAATTTTATTATTCATTAATTTCATTTCATTTCACTCCTTTTCTTTTTCGGTGTCACCTCGCGATAGTGACGATATGTGTTATACATTATAAAGTAGCGCGGGTTCTTATCGTTGTATATAATAAACGTGCATGTTTTGTTTACCCGCACACTTTGCTCGATCGTTTCTCTTTCTGTACACACACGTATATAACTACATATTTTTATATATAATATACTTTCAAGCCCGATCGATCGGCTCTAATGCAAAACAACATCCTTCGTGTTTCAGAGCTCTCGACGACAGAAAAAAAAACCAGACGCTGAGGTATTTTTTATACACGTCAACGTCGGGGGGCGGCGGCGGCGTTGCAGGAGGGTGTGTGGGCACGCGAATGATCACAAGGAGCAGTGATATTATGGATCAAAGGCCGCGATTATGAGCGTCGTATGCTTGAAATCCGCGTCGGTCTGCGAAGAGAGCATACCGAGGGTGAACGGGGCGGCTGCCGACGGTACCGAAGATCAGCAGAGCGCCAGCAGCAGTGGCAACAGCAGCGCGTCGAGCTCGCTGTCGTCGACCTCGTCCTCGGAAGAGTCGTCCGCCTCCTTGGACACGGCACAGAAAACAACAACAAGCACAGGAGCTACTACGATAGCGACTCCGACGGCAGCCAAAGACGTGTCCAACGACGAGCTGGCACTGTTGGCCAAGCTCGAGGAGGCCAATCGGTAAGATATTGCAATAATACCTTATACATATATATACAGAAACAGGTGACTTCGCATATCGTCGCTACCACTACGGTAAAACGCCTACCTGTATGTACACATCACATACACACGAGCACGAGAATACAACGTTTGCTTTGGGCTTGCTGATAAGGCCTGCCTTAATAATGTACATAGGCGCGCGCGCGTATATTAATCTATATCATGCCTCCGCTCCGCGAGGCTGTGCATATGTGTGCGAGTCGCGATACGTGTTCGTGCCACTACTACCGCTGCCGATCGCTGAATATATGAATTTTTTTCGCTATACTCCACGAGCGACCAAGTCCCCTCATGCTCGCGCCAGGCCAGGCCGCACTTCAGTATATCGCGACGCGTCTCTCTCCGACGATATTATATATATACATAAATCGAGTCGCGCGCGCGAATCGTTTCGGTGCTGCTGCTGCTGCTGCTGCTGCACACGTCACGCAACCGAGCCTCGCAGCATCATACATGTCTCTGTGTTATTATTGCTGTTTCTTTCTCATCGATTCGGAGCCTACTGGAGTTGCAGCGGCAGCGGCGAGAGTCGAGAATAATGAACGAGGCGTTCAAGCGGCAGAGTCTCAAAGCCATCCAGAGGTAGTAGTTAGTTTTCGCGACATACATACACATACATACACATTCACATAACATTCATAATCATAATAACGACGACAACCGAATGAAACTTATTTTGACGCGCCCGCGCAGGCTGATCGAGTCGGACGCCAAGTCGCTCAACTCGCTGCAGAGCAATCACAGCCGCAAGGGCTCGGACACGTCGCAGGTGTCGCTGGCCTCGGGCTGCAGCGTAACCACCACGACCAACAACAATAATGCGGCGGCAGCAACGTCGAACGGCAATAATGCTGTCAACAGCAGCAGCAACAACAACAACAACACAACGACGGGGCCCGCCGGTGGGGGCAGCGACGGCGAGGAGAACACGTGGTCCCTGTGGGGCAAGATCATCGCCGACTGGGACAATCAGTGGAAGAAGAGGAAGGACTTCGTGAAGGATCTCATCAGGCAGGGCATACCGCATCATTTCAGGTAAATATAATTCCAATATGCGCGACGTTAATGTAATCAGCTGACGAGAGACGCATATGTACGCGAGTGACTCATGTGATAAAATGCTTTTAACGATGCGTGTGTGTATATATATCTAGGCAATGATTGTATATACGACTTATCGCTCGTGACTCGCCCGTGCGCGTTTTAATTGCCTTCTAAAAAAAGATAAATAAACAAATCGTAATTAATTAAAATTTCGTCAACACAGGAGCATAGTATGGCAGCTGCTGTGCGGCGCGCACGAGTCCGAGGCCAAGCGCAAGTTCGCCGACTACATGAAGCGCACCTCGTGCTTCGAGCGCATCATCAGACGCGACATCGCGCGCACCTACCCTGAGCACGACTTCTTCAAGGAGAAGGACGGCCTCGGCCAGGAGAGCCTGTTCAACGTCATGAAGGCCTACAGCCTGTACGATCTCGAGGTGGGCTACTGCCAGGGCTCGGGCTTCATCGTTGGCCTGCTGCTCATGCAGCAGATGCCCGAGGAGGAGGCGTTCGCCGTACTCGTGGCCCTCATGCAGGATTACCGGCTCCGTGACATGTTCAAGCCGAGCATGGCCGAGCTCGGCGTGTGCATGTATCAGCTCGAGCATCTGGTGTCGGACACGCACCCGGAGCTGTTCGCCCACTTCGCCGTGCAGGGCTTCCACACGTCGATGTACGCGTCGAGCTGGTTCCTCACGCTCTTCACGACGGCGCTGAGTCTGCCGCTGGCCTGTCGCATCTTCGACGTGTTCCTCTCCGAGGGCATGGAGATCATATTCAAGGTGGCCCTGGCCATGCTGCAGCTCGGCAAAGACGATCTCGTTAGTCTGGACATGGAGGGCATGCTCAAGGTTCGTGTTCGACTAACTACTATTATTACATCCACTCGAGCGAGAGGTAGATAGTAGAGTTCAAGAGGTTTTTATAATTAACCGTTCGTTTGTGCGCAGTTCTTCCAGAAGGAGCTGCCGGGCCGCGCGGAATCCGATCCGAATCGCCTGATGAGCATCGCCTACAGCATGAAGATCAATCAGAAGCGAATGAAAAAGCTCGAGAAAGATTACACGGTGCTGAAGATGAAAGAGCAGGAGGAGATGGTGGAGCTGCGCAGATTGCGGACGGAGAACAGAATGCTGCGCCAGCGTACGGAGCTGCTCGAGGCCGAGTCCGCCGAACTAGGTATAGACTACTGATTCTCTCTTCTCTTTATCCAATCAAGCAGTATTGTAACAAATTGAATTAAAAATATCCACGAATGGCAATTCAGTTTAATACGAGGATTAAGAATATTTTAATTAATGAATCAATTTGATTTTTCTGTTAAACTTGATTTACAGAATTAATTTTCATGTCTCCAGTTTATATGAGTTGTTTATGCTTTAGATAGAATGGATTTCTCAAGTTATAGTTCTTCTGGACTCTTCAGGCTCTAGGTAGATTGAAGAGAAAAACATAATGGGATTATCCGCGGTCCATTTGGGGCCTAAAGAATCTGAAATAACTATAACTTACTCAAGAAATCTAATCTGGGCTACTTTTACAACCTCTGGAGCATCAAGAAAAACTAGGGGATATTAAATTTGATTCAAATTGAAAATGAGATGAACCAAATTATGTACTGATGCGTTTGAATGTCAATTAATTTACGAATCAATTATTAGTTAGATCCTGTATCTTATCAATTACAAAAATTATCAATTCATTGGTACTTGCATAAAAAATGCCTGATACATGACCATTTTTTATCAAATGGCAATTACTAAATGCCGAGTATACATTTCTTAGAAAATTAGCGAAAAATTTTTACTTAATTTTTTTTAATTGGAGCTTTATAGCCATACCTAAATTTAAGCTGAAGTCTGAAAGAATTGACAATTCACATGTAAATGATAAGATACAACGTCATACTACCGAATAATTTCTTAAATTAATAAAAATAAACGACTGGTTGATGAACAATGATTTTTCTCTTCTATCGCGCAGCGGAAAAACTGGTGCGCGGCCAGGTGTCGCGCGCCGAGGAGGAGGAGATAGCGTTCGTGGCGCAGCGCGAGCTCACGGCGCTGCGTCACGTGCACCTCGAGACGCTGCACGGCAAGGAGGAGCTGCTCCACCAGAAGGAGGAGCTGATACAGTGCCTGCAGGACGAGCTCGTGCGCGTGCGACTGCACGAGGCCGAGAACGACGCGCAGATCTACGATCTGCGCGAGCGCATCAGGGAGCTCGAGCAGGACAAGAAGCAGCTGAGGGAGTGCACGCCCGACAACTCGGTGGCCCATCTGCAGGAGGAGCTGATCGCGGTGAAGCTTAGGGAGGCCGAGGCCAATCTGTCGCTCAAGGACGTGCGCCAGCGCGTGAGCGAGCTCAGCGCCAGCTGGCAGAAGCATCTGCAGGAGCACAGGGCGGCGCACGCCGCGCAGCCCGCCGACTCGACCCCCAAGAAGCTGCTGTTCTGGGAGAGTCGTGGCCAGGAGGTGCAGAAGCTCGAGGAGGACCTGATGACGACGCGCTTCCACGAGATGGAGGCCCTGACGGAGGCCAAGGAGCTCAGGCTCAAGGTCATGGAGCTGGAGACGCAGGTGCAGGTGTCGACGAATCAGCTGCGCCGCCAGGACGAGCACGCCAAGGTACTTAGGGACGAGCTGGAGCAGGCGCTGGCCCGACAGAAGGAGCTCGAGACGCGGCTGCGCGAGCAGCAGGACAAGTACTGCGACCTCGAGAGCAAGATGAAGGACGACACGATGATGGCGAGGATCAGGGACGCCGAGCACGCGCAACAGGTCGCCGAGCTCAAGCAGCAGATATCGGTGCTCGAGCTCAAGGTAACGAAAATTTCTTCTTTTTTTTTCTTCTTCCTGTCGAGTCACGAGGAATCGGAAAATCAATCGAGCGTGTGCTCTTTATCTTTTTTAGAACGAGGAGATGCACGCCGAGGGCGAGCTGCGCAACAACATGGACGAGAGCGACCGGGTGCGCGAGCTGCAGGACAAGGTGGCGGAGCTCAAAGCCGAAGTGAGTTTGCTGCGGCCTTATTACTATTATCATCTACCACACGGGGAATAGGATTCTGTCTCTCTCTCTTTAACAATCGACGATATATCTTTAGTTTTAAGTTTAACGAGCTTAACGCGATTAACGCGATCGCTTGATCATCGCACTGTAAAATAATTTACCACGAGCTTTTGAAAGACGTTCTCTAATTATGTACTACAATTGTATATATTTTATACATATATAACAGTCATCGGTATTACATGTGAACTAAAAACAATACAAGTCTTATCGAATTCGACGGAAAAAAACATTATGATATATTTAACGAGCTTGTTACGCTTATGTGCATATAGGCAAATTTATACAAGTCACTCTCTTGCAATATCGTGCTTTTGGTTCATTTTGCGTTCACCAGCATTCACGAAGGAAAAAATAATAACAGTCGCAATTGTATCATTTGGCTTCTTTTTCGTTTCTTTTACACAGATCGTATACAGATCGGCTCGATAATCGTTAGCTTTTTTCTTTTGTACAAAAAAAAAAGCATTGATTACCTTCATACTATTTTTTTATCAATTTTCAGACTCGTAATTATCATATCGTTCGTACGAATTGGATTCGTGCACGTGCATAAAAAAACACGTTCGGGTGAGAAAAAAATACACGTGTAGAATTTGCTTTTAGTTATTGCCAAGCGATATTGCGTCGAGCCGCACGGAGAAAATAAAAAAAGAAATCCGAAGTTCACAAGAACGTATGATAAACAGTGATCGATTCTTTTTGTAAGGTAAACAAATGCAATTATTGGCCAGAGACTTATTTTGTAATTTTAGAAGAACCAAAAAAAAAAATATTAGTTGTCGAATTTAATTAATTTTGAATAATAGTATTGAACTGTAAAATAAACTTGACAATTCGTGAGTGATGACTTTTCGCCGTGTTTGCTAAAAAAAAAAGGCTATTATAAAAAGCATATCTGCCCGCTTGAATATTTGAAGCTTTCGAAAAACATTGACTGAATTGCACACAAAGGTGCTGGGCATCGAACTAACTCTGGCTTTTGGGCTACTAAAAAATACATTCGTCTTGTCAAAGATATAAAAGAAAGGAGTCAAATTCTCATTTTTGACAAGACGAATTCAAATGCAGCTTTTCGATTTTTCCGTAATTAACCCACTGTTTCTATGTGTTTTGTCGGATTAGTGTCCTACACCGATCACCAGTCCAGACATAGAAGTGTTGACATGGCTCGAGTAAGTTTTCAATGAATTGGACGGTATTATATCGAATGTTAGAGATTTTTTGTTTCATTTCTGAATCCTTTCGACTGTAACTATGCATTCGAGTATCGTATTTAGTCGTTTTTAATTTGTTGAAACTGTCGAATTTCGAGTTTTGTTAAAAATGTTGTACATAATAGTGCAAATTATTATTCTAATTTTATTAGATGTTAAGCATGAATGTATAAAATATACGTATATATGTTTTTTATATAACGCAATATATTTACTTCGTATCTAGTCATGTAATTACTGTCGTTGGAAATTGAATTTTTTATAATTGTGTAGAACTATTTTACTCGTCCTGGTTAAAGAAAATGCTTGCAACATCTTCATTTCTCATAAGTGCATGATTATTTTTTTCTCTCACATTTTGGTAGTTTAGGTGTAATGCAAAAGCTTCTGATGAATTTTTATTTATTATGATCAATCTTAGCGATCGATCGTTTGCCGTATTTTTTTCTCGTTCATTAAAGTGTATTCAGCCTGGATAATCACAAAAATTAAATTGGCAAACGATCGAACGCTACGATTGACAACCGATTTGTTTATGCAACTCGACTTTTTCTTTCTCGAAAAAATAATGAATAAACTCACGCTCGCCTCTTTTATCCATTCACACTCTGCGTGTAGGTAAGGTGCCGTTACTATTACTTATAACCCACAATAAAAAAAAAAAAAAAAAAAAAACAATAGACAAAAAAAAAATAAACCAACACGTGGCCGTCCTCTGCCTCTGTGCCCACACGCACACTCGTGTTCACATGTGCTGCAGGTGTTGAGACTGGAGAGCCTGCGCGAGCACTGGGCCAAGCACGGCGACGTCAAGAGCAAGGACGCGGTGAGCCGCAGCTGCAGCATCGACACGACCGACACCGAGCTCGACGCGCTCGAGCGCAGCGACGAGCTGCTCAAGATCTGCCTCAAGGGCGTCGAGGACGATCAGGACGCGTGAAAAAAAAAATAATAATTAACGAAAGGGAAAAATATTGAAGAATACTACGGTGCACAATCGAGAATCACTCGTGTAACTGATCTATATGATGAAAAAAAAAATACTCTGTCGTCGCACACACGTACGCAAAGAAAAAAAAAATAGGGATAGATGATGACGATTGCTTTTCTCGAGGATAATCGCACGAATTTTTTAAAGTATGTATGTATACGTCGCGAAGAGAGGCAGTACTTGTAACATCATCGATTTTTCATTCCATAAGAAATTGTTGTATAAATTCTCGTTTATTACTACTCCCCCTCATCACGTAGATGTAACGATATGATTACATAAATAATATATTATGATTATTAACGTCGGTGAAAAAAAATTCGAAGTAATCAACATTGGGTGATCGATTCGTCTCATTATACTACCTTATGGTAAAATTCGTTCAAATTTTATACATACAACTATGAAGTATATTATATATATTTACATTGTACGAACTTAGCGTGTATTTAACACTTAGACCTATAAGTATAATTTTAGTACGTATAACGTGTCGATTTTGTGCAATTTTTTTTTAAAGATAATAGTTTCATGCGTTGTACATTTTTTTTACTATTATATTTTTAATCATTTAAACATAACAACTATACGATAGCGAATGGAGAAACGTCGATTCTGTAAAAAATTTGAGTGAAACAAAGAAAAAAGTGTCACGATCGTATTACTGTTTTATTGCTGTTTTTTAAAAACAGGATGATGGACGATAATCAAATGTGTATAATTCGTTATTGGTTTTTCGTTTCTCTCGAGCAGTATTTTTCTTGTAAGGAATAGCAGAAGAGAAGATGAAAGATAAAAAAAAACAGAGTATTTATAACAAACGCCCGACCGTTTGAGATTTAATTGTATTTAATTATTTTTGTCGATCTTTTTCAATTGTATATTTTGACGAGAGATGAGTGGAAAAAATCTTACCTACGTAAGGAACGCAATAAAATATGATCTTGTAAAGATTTCGTTTCGAGCATTTTCACGCCCAAAAACGTGAAACGAGACTCAACCAATTTATACGAAACATAATGTGATAAGCTATTTAAAAAAAAAAAAGAAGGAAACTTTCTAATTGTTATAAAGTATATCGATGCTTACTAGTGAAATAACAACGTATGCTATTTATAAAGTAGACCCATAGTACATTATTATTTTGTTTATTTATACACGAAAAAAAATAACGGCCAACATTGCTTATGTAAATTATTTTTCACTTCGAAAAAATCATCTGTTAAAAAAAAAAATCCTTCGAGAACGAAATAAAAACAAAAATACATGTAAATTATTAATTTACAAAACTACAATCGTGTGTACAGTGAGCAATTTTTTGTAATTGAATTATTACATCTTATTTTCTGATATTTCAGACTTTTCCTTCGACGATGATAAGTATGATAATCGCAAGAAAACGTAGATATACGAATATACGAATTTTCCAAGTAATGGACACACACAAGCGCGATTCAACGAATGAAACTTTTTTTGAAGTAAAAAAAACATTTATTGCGCACAGAAGTTTATGGTATAATAATGGGCATGGAAAGTCGATGCAAAACGACACACAATTATTATGCAAACCGTTCGGAATGTCGAAATTAACCCAATAGCTTCATTGTTGCTTTCTACGATTTTATTTTATTTCGTTCTCTCCTAATGGAAACCCGGAGCAATTGTGCAACACGATTCTGGCGTTTAAATTCTTCTTTCTTTTTTGTTTTTGCAACTTCATTCGGGCGCGGAGAGAAGTTGAAATAAAAAACATTGAATCGATAAATTAATCAAAACGCGCGGGGCAACGAAGCCGCAGAGATAATTGATTCCTGGTAGTGCATTTCTTTTGCGATTGTACGCAGCTGCTCGTAAATACATTTAAATTTTATGCAAACATATTTTATCCTAGAATTAGAGGTCGCTATATTTTCGAGCGTAGTGAATTTTTTATTTTTGACTGAGATATTAATAACGATTTATCGATGCCAGAAAAAACAGAAATCTCTATGTTTTACCATAATGTATAATCTGCGAATCAGTTCGTTCCTGCGCGCCGAATATTTCATATTCAATTGCGAAACGAAGATTATCGAGCATGTAATTTTTGTATTTTTGGAATATCGTACGCACACCGTCTGTGGTAAGAATGTATTATGGAACTGCGCGCAAGTCCAGCGATGTAACCTTTTTTTTTATGTTACAATCATCATGGATTTTTACTACGTGAAATACTTAACTGTCATTGTATAATAACGTCAATTATCGAATGGAAGAAAGGAAAGAAAAAAGAATTATTAAATAAATAAATAAAAAAAAGTACGAAACAACAACGATGTATATCTCCTGTTATTTCTATTAGGGGCGAGCTTTATCGTTTCGCGCGCGTCACGGTCGGCTAGGATCCTCCACAGCACAGCAGCAGCAGCAGCTCGAACTTTGACTTTTTCTCGCCAGATAAAATAGTAATTTTCTCAACTTCTTTTTTCGTTACACGATTGAATAAACGACGTCCAATTAACGAATATAATGAAGTACGCACATATCGCATGCGTGGTGCTTTTTTTTTTTTTTGCTTCGCTGCAGCGAGAGAAATACACTTACACACAGAGCGCAGAGAGAAGCGATCAGGGGAAGTGCAGATTCTTCGAGTGGCTTCACTTTTGAGACACGCACACGGGCATTATTGCAACGGGCTGCGCTTTCAAAAGACTCGACAGTCCATTGGCCTTTTTAAATAGGCTATAGGAGCGGAACAGGCCATTAAAAATGATGATCGTTCTCTCTCTCTCTCTCTGTCTCGCTCGCTCTCGAGCTTGCGCGCACGATTGAGAGTAATTTACTTTTTGTGTATACAATAGCAAGAATGTTCGAATCGTGCGCATAAAAAATTCAAGTAAATTCACGAATTCAATTAGTTTTAAACTTTATTTATTTGAATAATATTAAAAAAACTGCAATAGAATTAATATTAACAGACATTAAAAATTACAAGCTTTGAAGAACCGCCAAGCAAACATCACATAAATCCTCGTTCTTTAGCTTCTGAATGACTATTTCGCAGCGAAGAATCGGAAGTTGATAGCGTGTCAGCTCCAAGATAGGATCCAGTGCCCATCGCCGGAAAAATCCTCTAGGCATCTTTTCGCACAAGCTCGGACAAGCTCGGATTTATCATCATCTGTTTAACTTTGTGCGAGAAGATACCGCCTTCGCGCAAACATTTTTCAAGACCCGACGACTTTTCAAGTAATTCATAATTGGCGAAAATTTTCATAACCGTCATGACGTCACTGCGGACCAGCTCGTATCCTCCTTTTTCAAGACGTTCAACCACGGCCAGAGCCCTAGATGCGAGTTCCAACTTATTGCAATGGTAATTACTTTCGTCATATCCTGCACAAAAGTGGTTTCCACGGGGAAAAACAAAAATTGACAGATCGGCACCACGATCCAAGAGTACATCGACCGTATACGGGTTTAAATTCCCTACGGCCGATTGCAGTGGTGTTCTACCTTCGTTGTCCCGAGCATCGGCCTGCATCGTTTGCTGCATTTCATCGTTGATCTCGAAGAATCGTTTCGCATAGTGACAATCGTCATATATCGAAGACTTGCATATAATGTGCAAAGGTGTCGATCCTTCTGCATCAGCCAAATTCGGATTGGCGCCATTTCTCAGCAGCGATTTTGCCACCTATCTTCAACCTCAGACCAAAGCCAAGTGTGGCAGCGAATCACTCATTTCTGCCACGAGACAATTGGCATCCTGTCCGCGGGCTCGAGAAATTTCTCGACGACGTCGTCGAGGCCCAGCATGCAGGCCACGCTCAAGCGTGTGAGGCCCAACTCATCGGCACAGTTTACATCGAACCTGTCGTCGATTTTAAAAAGGCGAGAGACGATTTCATTGTCACAACTTCTGAATGCACAATGTATCGCCGTGGTACGTCGCAAAATCGGCTTTCCGTCTTCATCGACTTCGGGCTCGTCCTTGTAGCCGCTGTTGATCACAAAGTCAACGATGGGAAACTTTGCAGTCGGGGCTGACGTATTTCTTCAGATCCTCCGTAAGAATCCATTCGATCTCTTCGGGCCGAAAAATGTCTCGGAGGTCTGGCACTTGACCCTGACACTTTTTGATTAAGGCACGAAATTTACGAAAAAATGTATTTCGCTCTTTTTAGATTTCCCAATTAATCTCTTGTCGCATTAGTTTCAATGTTGTTGTCGAATCTTGATTATTTTGAGCCATCGCACTCTCACAAAAATAACACAATCGATCAAAATTCAAGATATCTTTTACTTTTTTCACGAAAACCATTCGCTACAGTCGACGCGATCTTCCGAGCTGTTCACACTGTGACTTTGTGTATCGACACAGTGCGGAGCAATCGACTTATACGTTACACAAGTAAATAAAATGACAAAGGCAATGAGCGCCAAACCGGCTCAACAGCCCAAGTTGTATATAGTTACACGTTTCGGACCGCGTAATTAACCGAACAACGAGCTATTATATTTATGTAGTAGGCCTTTTTCACAGACGATACGACTGGCCACTCAACAGATTTGTCTCCAGGAGGCGTTGCGAGTTAAACAAATGAAAAAAGTGAAAAACATTGACGACGGTGAAAAAGGTCTATAGCAGATCGATGGGTACTGTCGAGGGCAAACGGATCACAGCGCGTCAAAAACACCAACTGTTGCTGAACCCGAAAATATGTTAAGCGAACCACAAAATCCACGTTATTAGATGAAAACTGCAATGTCTAATCGAGTTTAGGCAGTTTCGTGAACCAACAATATGTTGAAGAAGATAAATAAATAATTAATCACCAATTTCCCGCAAGCAAAGCGCAGCCAACTTCGTACACTTGATTCGCTCGGTTTTAATCAGGGATAACCCAGTCGTCGACTCGATAGTTTTTCCATCGACTGCACGAAAATGTCGCGTTTTTCATCGCTAAAATTGCTCGCGATCGACGGGTCCAAATCACGAGCTGTAACAAGAATAAGAGCAGCAGCGGCAACGGGATCAGGGTCTAACCTGGTGCGGCACTTCTCTCTCGGCCAAGCATTGGGGGTAAATCTGGTTAAACCTGAAGTCGTCGATTTTACCAAAATTACGCTACCGGAATGGGATCCGAACAACCCCTATCATAATAATCCAGACGCTGTACGGTCAATAGCAGTGGTAACGTTCGTAAATGCTAAAAAATACAAATTTCTATTCAACCTTTGACAATGGCGACATTTCAACGTCAGGTCGAGGGCATAACTCGAAAATAATATAATCTCTTGATCTGTGTATCGTTGCATCTCGCACAGATATTGACCGGCTGTGGATTCAAAGACGGGACCGATGTACACGAAGCCATTTACACCATGATGCACATAACGCGGCATAATATCAGACCGACGTGCTTTGCGCCCTCAAGCAGAATACAGCGAGTGATCAATCATTTTACGGGAGAGAGAGTCTTGGAACCTCGCGATCCCCGCTTCATGCTAAACGAGTCCGCGCGCATGGCCTGGGAGGGAGTCCAACTCCTCGATGATCTGAGAGTCGAAGATCACCAGGGACTCATCGTTCCCAGCGGCAGCGGCATCGGGTTTAATCTGTACTTTTTTTTCACCCCCCCTATCAACTATACAGGATTATAATTCGAGCTTTTTGTGTCGTTGACTGAAATCGATATTTCTCTCTTTCCTTTTTTTACTGCGTCTCAATGCGTAGAACCAATTTCTATGAACGGTTGGACCATTACGAGATGGACCAGACGCTGAACCACAAGCTAATCGACTTCTATTGGCACAGAAAGCCGATGGGTTTTATAGGTTACGCTTCTATTCTGGCGGCTAGAGTATTTCAGGACGTGCGTATCACTTTGGGTGATAGAGGTAAGAATTTTAGGGGTTTCTAGTTTTTGTATAAATGTTTTTGCTTCGGTATAAAAAAAAATTACCATTCGGCATAATCATAAAAATAACAAAATCTACGTGTTTAATAATAATTGTATGAATAGCATTCGTAAATAGTGATTATTTGACATAAATATTTTTCTTACAGATGAATTACTGAGGCGTGCAATCTTCGGTGGAGGTAAGAATTTTAGGATTGTCTAGTTTTTGTATAAATGTTTCTTCGTATAAATGCTTCTTTGTGAGAAAAAATTACCATTCGTCATTATCATAGAAATGAACAATTCTACGCGTTTAATAATAATTCTATGAATCACAATCGTAAATCTTGACAATTTAACCTGAATAATTTTTCTACAGCTAGAAGGCGAAGGCGTGTAATGCGCGAAGATCGCTATATCTATGCTGTGGAGAGAATGGGAGCGACACTTGTGAATCAGAACATTTTCCAAGTTTTGCATGACACGAATTACCAAATTTACAGTACACCCGGCCGCCTGTCACAAATACCTGGAAGAAGCTATCACGACGTGAGCCAGGGCATCGGCTATCTCGTCGACCAAATGGTACAGTCACTTGGTGTTGTTGAGTGAAGATATGTGTTCGCTTTTTTTTCTCACCTTTGCGCGTCGATGCGTGTCCGATTTTTCGCAATCGCCACGCGCTAACTCGAAGCTTGTCCAGATGTAGCTCGTAATGGTAAATAAAAATTTTGGGTTTGGCACTTTTTTATAATGTACTACATATATAAAAAAGTATATATACTATATCATACCAAAAGCGCGTCAAGATCGGTGACATACGTGCGGACGAAAATTTAAAAAAGTATCATTTGATCCATATATATATAAAAAAAAAATTTTTTTTCGAAATCTAGTCAAGACCCCCCTCTCCTTCTTAAGCATCTACCACTAGATGACGAGTAACTTTATCTAGAAGTGTGCAAGTGGCTAAGTAATCATGATTTTACAAATCAAAGTATGGTTCCATATTACAATTTGTAATTACTAAAAAATAAAAATTGTACCCAACGTGTCCAATTTTAACAAGACCCTCTTATGTTTTAGCCCTAAATGTCGAGATTTCCTACCACCAAAGGAAAAATTCAATCAAAAAGATATAGAAAATTTCTCCGAAAATGATTGCTCCGGCGATTAAAAATGATTTCCCAGTTGATTTCCAACGATCAACTCGCAAATGATCGTAGGGAGTCGCGAGCAAATCGCAGCCAACTTCGTACACTTGTTTCGCTCGGATTTAATCAGGGATAACCCAGTCGTCGACTCGATAGTTTTTCCATCGACTGCACGAAAATGTCGCGTTTTTCATCGCTAAAATTGCTCGCGATCGACGGGTCCAAACCACGAGCTGTAACAAGAATAAGAGCAGCAGCGGCAACGGGATCAGGGTCTAACCTGGTGCGGCACTTCTCTCTCAGCCAAGCATTGGGGGTAAATCTGGTTGAGCCTGAAGTCGTCGATTTTAACACAAACCCGCCGCCGGAATGGGATCCGAACGACCCGCGTCGCAATAATCCAGACGCTGTACCGTCAATAGCAGTGGTAACGTTACTAAATACTAAAAAATACAAATTCAAATTCCCGTAACCTTTTGACAATGGCGACATTTCAACGTTAGGTCGCGCGCATCTCAGGTGAAAATGGTATTTTAGATTTGACTTCAGATCTGATATCCTAGATCTTATGCCAGATCTTATATCAGAATTTGCATACGATAATCGACCTCAGAACTTACATCAGATCTGACATCAGATCTAATGTCAGATCCGAAACGACTGTATCGCTCCTAATTGTTTAAAGAATAAATTGATTAATTATTAAAATTTAATAATAAATTTAGTTGTATTTTAATGAACGCATTGTTAACATCTTTAAGAATAATTCCTCTAAGGTTTGGGTTTTTGATAAGGTGAATTTAAATTAATTCGATAACTTTCATTGTGTAAGATTTTTTATTAAATTTTAATTGTTAACAAACTTATTGTTTAAATAATTAAAGGCGTCACAGTCACTTCAGATCTGACATTAGATCTGATATCAGATCTGATGTAAGTTCTAATATCGATTATCGTATGCAAATTCTGATATAAGATCTAGTATAAGATCTGATCCGCGTTCACCAGAACTTATATCAAATCTGACATCAGATCTGGAGACAGATCTGATATACTATTTTTACCTGGGTATAACTCGAAAATAATATAATCTCATCTGTGTATCATTGCATCTCGCACAGATATTAAGCGGCTGTGGATTCAAAGACGGGACCGATATACACGAAGCCATTTACACCATGATGCACATAACGCGGCATTATATCAGACCGACGTGCTTCGCGCCCACAGGCAGACAGTTACTTATAGTGGATCACCTTTTAAATAGAGGCGGTTTTTCTTACCGTCAAATTGAGCACGAGTCCGCGCGCATGACCTGGGATAAAGTCCAACTCCTCGACGATCTGAGAGTCGAAGATCACCAGGGACTCATCGTTCCCAGCGGCAGCGGCATCGGGTTTAATCTGTACTTTTTTTTCACCCCCTATCAACTATACAGGATTATAATTCGAGCTTTTTGTTTCGTTGATTGAAATCGATATTTCTCTCTTTCCATTTTTACTGCGTCTCAATGCGTAGTACCGATTTTATGACAAGAGCACCGGATGATATGCACGCGTTTAGGATGGACGAGACGCTGAACCACAAGTTGCTCGACTTCTATCGGCATAGAAAGCCGATGGGTTTTTTAGGTCTCGCTTCTCTTTTGGCGGCTAGAGTATTTCAGGGCGTACGTATCACTTTGGGTGATAGAGGTAAGAATTTTAGGGGTGTCTAGTTTTTGTATAAATGTTTTTGCTTCGTTGTGAAAAAAAAATTACAATTTGGCATAATCATAAAAGTGACAAAATCTAAAAATTCAATAATAATTGTATAAGTAACAATTGTAAATTGTGATAATTTGATATGAATATTTTTTTTACAGAAACTTTACAGGCGTATGGAAGAGATAATCTTCTCGTTCAAGCCACGAGAATGAATGCGATACACGAAGATAGGCCCCCCAACGCGGTTTTTCACGACACGAATTACAACATTTTCAGTGCGCGCGCCTCCCTGGCAGACCAGCAGTATTATGAATTGAGCCGCGGCATTGGGAATCTTGTTAGCGCTGTGGCAGATTTTAGATTGAGAATATAATGGTGGTTGATTGACACGCATCTTTGCTAGCTGGAGAGTGAAAAGTCACTCGACATTGAGTGATGATATGTGTTCGCTTTTTTTTCTCACCTTTGCACGAATTCGCGACGATGCGTGTCCGATTTCTCGCAATCGCCACGCGCGAACTCGAAGCTTGTCCAGATGTCGCTCGTAATGGTAAATAAAAATGATGTTCACTCGTGGTTTGAATTTGTTTTTTGTGCAATCAAAGATAAATAATAAGCCAGTTACGCAGCTAGCCATCGGAACGAATGGAAGAAAAGACCCGCGGTTTACCAGTGTCACACGTGGAAACTCGAATTTCAGCACCCGTATTACTAATGTATATGGGTACTAATTCATCTTAGCAAAAATGTTTGAAAAAAATTCAAATAAATTTAGGGATTTAATTAATTTTAAACTTTATTTATTTCAATAGTACGAAAAATCTACAGTTGAACTAATAATACCAGACATTAAAAAATATTATCAATATGCGTTATCAAAGATAAGCTGCCAAGCAAATTCGATACAAATCTTCGTTCTTCAAGGTGACGGGCACAGTCCCAGATGCCAGTATCAGCTTATTATAGTTGTAATTGTTTGGGTCAAATCCTTCGATACATGTGCCCCGTTCCTCAGCAGTATTTGAGTTTTGACCCGCCGAGTGAATTTCGCAGCCAAATGCCGCGGTGTATTATCCAACTTGTCTTGAGCATTGACTTGCACTGGAGGATATCGTTCGTTCCTCAGCTCCAACGACATCTCAGCCAAGCCAGAAGCTGTCGTTCTATTTCTTCAAACTTGGGCATCGGTCGCCGTGAGCTTCGAAACAGAAGACAACGACGATCGCATCGTCGTAGCGTCCGACCGGCTGGATTATGCTAAACTCGCTGCTGCTCTACGGCTGGGGCATCGCCAGCGCCTACGAGCGGATCACCCTCGACCGAGGCCAAGAGGAGAGGCCTCGCAGCTATCACGCGATCGAGATATTCGGCGAATTCTTCGTCGGCTGCTTCACCTACGCGATTGATGCAATTTTTTTCCATGTTCAAGGCCTTGAAAAGACTTCACGTATATATAATTTTATGAAGAATTTAATGCCCTTTCAGAATCCGGGCTTAAATTTGAGAGTTGATGCTTAGTTAAAAAGTTATGGTTGAAAAACTGATTCGACGTGTATTTTAGCGGTACGTTACTGCTCCAAATGAGTTTGTAATTTCACGGAATAAATTCTAAAAGTTGACCGTGAATTTTTATTGTACAACTTTTATATTTACAACTAAATATTTAGTTGTTTTTACCAAAATTTCATGAAACTAAAGAAAAAGAGATTATTTCAATGAAAGTATTTCATTGATTGTATTTAATCTAATTAATATAAGAGCCATTGCGATTATAGATCGAATTGAACCCTCTTAGAGCCAACTTCATGTGAGTACAAGAAATATTTTAGTGTCATCTATTTACGCCCTCTGTCTGTAGTTAATAATATCTTTCATATATTAAATTACATACTCATAAGAGTTCCATGCGCGCGTAGCGCGCACATATTAAAGTCTAGTTAAATTTTTATTGAATCAATGAATTTCTTTTCTCAGCGTATATGGTAATATAGCTAGTTTTTGGACAGTTGAGAAAATTTTACCAATTTGAATTTATACAGTTTGCTTATTTACTTTAACTACATAAAAATATACCATTCGATTGGAAAAATTAAGACTTATAATTTAGAAGTTTTTGATTAATTCAAAGGTCAAATGTTCTTAAAATGTGATTTTCTGAAAGAGTCGTAAATTTCTTTATAATTCACAAATTTTTAGAGCTTGAATATGAAAAAAAATCATGGAAGTGATTTTTTACTAACTAATCATGGAAGTGAACGATAATTAGAAATTATAACTTTTATCTAGCCGTTGGACCCTAGGTATTCTATTGAATATTATTTTGTACGTTTTAATCAAATCAACGTTCAAAAATAAATCTTTATGATAACTTAATAATGAAACCATTTTGTGTTTTCTTTTTTAAATCGATTGACTAGAAGTGTTTTATTTAAAACATGTTATAACTCGAAGTGCCCGATTACAACAAAATTTTCCCTTTTTTTACCGTATTGTAATGTTTTTTCAGTCAGGCATTAACCTCTTTAGGATAAAAAAATCGTTCGTTAAATTAAAACCGTTTTTATGCGGACTCTGTAAGATTTAAAATCTGACTGAAAAAACATTTATTGCTTCAACAACTTATAATAAATTGACAAAAAACACCAAATATGCTCCGTTTATATTTTTGAGTGAAAAGAATTTCCCTTGAATTTCGTAATTTTGTAATTTTATTACATCTTCAATTCTATTCGACAAAAAACACATTCTGGAAAGATTTCGAAAAAGTCTAAACCTTTACAATGAAATAATCAAATACCTACGTTATCATTCTCTATCTGCAAAAAAAAAAAATATTGTGTTACGATTCTACGCCGCTCGAATCTTCCATTCATAAATTCCACTTCTGAAGAGTAGATGAGTAAATGACATCCAAATTGTTGACATTTTTGACGATCATGCTGTTATATATAAAATCCATAGTCAGTGAACTCGATCCGTTTATCGTTACTCAATCGATTTTTTTTATCACTGCCGTACTCGTGCATACGTAATATAATACATTTCATTGAATTTAATCTCTTCTTCGAAATTTCAACGGACTACATCGCGCGTACACCGGTCCGTGACAAAATTGAATTTTTATTCATTGAGTATTAGTTGATTGCGATAAAGCGGAGCTCACCTTGGCACAATTTCGGTTTAGCCACGATGCACCAAAAGATCATTGAATCGTTGCTGCGATAACATTTTTAGATCGCATACATTATCTCGTGACAAATGCCACATGAATTCAAGTCGTTTCTTTCTAACGCGGATGTACCTAATTTCCACGTACATACATCCGTGTGCATATATAATAATGATACAAAATGCGAATCTCCGAGAGAGAGAGAGAGATTAATCACTGCCTCGAACGTCTCTGAAATCGGCATCTCCTTTGACTCTATATATACACGATCATCACCCGTGTGAAAATATGACGACGCCGTTTTTTTCTTTCTGACTCACATAACAACGTTATGTTACGAGAGAGAGAAAGAACCCGTACATGCGATCAACGTGCTTATCAATGCGTAATTTTTGCCAATGAGTTTCATCGTACCGTCGTTTACGTAACGTGAATTTTTTTTGCGCGTTCGATCGATCGACTCATATTATACATATTACAGGTATGTGAAGCGCGCACTGACTCGACAGATAAGATTTTTGAACTTTAGCGCGCGCGCGCGTTTGAAAGCCAAAAGCTTCGTCTCGACGACGCTAGATGGCGCCAAGCGGCGTCCTCGTGCGCGTCGAGCGAGAGTAGATGCCGGCTTTTCCCGTGTACACGCAGAGAGCTCCTTACTTTATTGTTCTGTGTTGAGTCGACGAGGTCAATTTTCGATTTTCCTCATCCCTCAGTGAAGCGATAATTGTTGATAATTAACGCCGAGAGGTTCAGGTTTTTCCTTGCTTCTGCTTCGAGTTAAAAGATCAAAAATCCAGCAAAAATGGTGAGTAACGCTTATTTTATTATAAAAACGTTGTATTTCGAGGGGTCGAGGTTATGAGCCGCTCACGTGTCTTTATTTACCTTTTTTTTTTTTATTGTCGAATTATGAATAGAGTCTTGCGTTTGAAATGATTGTTTAAGTGTGAAGAATCACAATAAAAGTTTAATTGCTACTGCCTGCTTTTAATATCAATTAATTCATCCACATGCCTTCAGAAATTGTACTTTTGCTAACTTATTATTGTAGATTTCTAAATGATGAAAAATGCAGATTTTTCATTCATAGAACATTATTCAATGTGAGACAAGCTTGTTATGTAACTGTTATCCTACTTAATATTGCCATTTATAGTCAATTAACTAAAGTAACTTCATACATTACACGTAACTAATCCAATTTTTTCATTCTTTTCCAGACTGAGGAAGTTAATCCAAAAGCATACCCTCTGGCTGATGCCACATTAACATCCAAGATATTGAATCTGGTTCAGCAAGCCATGAACTACAAGCAGCTGAGGAAGGGAGCCAACGAAGCAACCAAGACACTGAATCGTGGCATCGCCGAGTTCATTGTCATGGCTGCCGACGCAGTACCTTTGGAGATTCTGCTCCATCTTCCTCTTCTCTGCGAGGATAAGAATGTGGCCTACGTCTTTGTCAGAAGCAAGCAAGCCTTGGGCAGAGCCTGCGGAGTCAGCAGACCAGTCGTATCGTGCTCTATCACGGTTAACGAAGGATCCCAGCTGAAGCCACAGATCACTGCTATCCAGAAGGAAATCGAACGCCTTCTTGTGTAAATAGCTGTACATAATAAATTTTTCTAACATTTATTCTTATAATCCCTTTGTTTTTCATTATGACCTACCAATCATTAAAAATACTGTATGATGGAACTAAATATGATATTGTTGCAGCCAGTTACATATTAAAAAATCATTAACGCGAACTACTTACATTCAACCACACCATAAATCTCTTCTATTCTTGTATCGCATTGAACTTGTTATTCTGCACTTAAACTTTGATTCAACCAAGCATTCATTACAACAACAAGCAAAGACGGTAAGCGGTCTGCAGTGCAGAACGCACAATTCTCCGATCGAATTTTCTCCAATGGGAGAAAATACATTTTCCCCCTCTGCACTGCGAGTGCAGCTCCAAAACCAATAACGCATTCAAATAATCAAATCGATTAGGCGCAGAGCTTGTGCGTCGGATTATCGAGGGGCGGCGCCCTTCTCTCAACGATACTTTATTTCAATCGTCGCGCTCGTTATTAAGGCCTTTTATAAATATATATATAATGCGATATCTGTCTTGCATCAACGTCGCGTCTCGGCTTGCATAGCGCGAGCAGCGGCGTTCGGAGTTATTTTGTATACGAAAACATTTCGCGCTGCGCGCCGCATACCACGTGTGCGCCTGTGTGCATAAGTATACATATTCAAGTGTACGCGTATTATACACGTGTGCGTATATGCATGGGGGGAGAACAGTTGTAAACGTCTCGAATCGCTCGAACAGCGAACTCTCATTCCGTAAAGTCGCGTGCATACTTTTGCGTTGATAAAAAAAAAAATGTACGGGTGGGACTGTGCGATTTAATCGGCCGGTTTCGAGAGGCCAAAATTATGGTATATAATTTCTCCGAGATTCGAGCAAATGATTGAAAATTAGTATTACCATAAAAAAAAAGTGTTTATGTCGCAAAACCAAGTTTAAATGTGGCGCCTGTAATTGCACCATTATCAGCGGCCGCAATAGCTGTATAATTATATCATTTAGAAACGGCTTGGAGCTACCAAAAATTGCGTCTCGTTAAATTATGATCAATTCGATTGTAAAATTTCAATAATTTCAATGTCTCTTTTGAGCACATGGTAAAATGAATTTTTCTATCAATTATATAAATAAACTTTAATAGTGCTAAAAATTCAATAATCTTGAAATCATTGCCACAATTATTATGTAATTAAATAGCGCATGAATTATGAAAAGGATCGGCTCAAAAGATTTTTAGTTACAGGGAAGTTTACTTTTCGTTATTTTGGACTGAAAATTTAACTTAATATTCTTGTAATAACAGTTTATTTTGTGTACTGCGCATTGATTTTCAATTAATTAACTATCAAAGAAAATAAAAGAAAAAGAAAATACGACCACGATTGAAATCTTCATTCTTGCGGCTACCACTGAAAAAATTTTGCACTGAATTCGTGTTCACCTGTGGTCTTTTATTGATATCACACTATAGTGTTTGAACTTTATATTCAACAGTTAACTTGAAGAAAGTTCACGGAATTTAGGTTCACGGTGAACGCGATTATCAAGCACTTCATGTTGTCGGGGCGATTGGACTATATTTAAGTAAAATCTTACATAAACGAGCCTATTTTCTTTATAATATTCGAAAATATTGTAAAAACTTTGTTATTTAAAAAAAAAAGATTTATAAAATATTACAGTGAAATAATCGTGATTTATTGTACTTATCAATATTATTTACAAAGGTAACAAAAATATCGCTTATCAGTTATGCCTAACGTAATTCTTATTAACTGGTTCAACAAATAACAATGGTGAAGTTTTGGGTAGTGATTGAACCTCTACATAAGTGTGGCGATTTGTTTCAATGACTTTATAAACATGAATATGTGTATCAAATTATACAGTTTCTAATAAGTTTACACGGAAAAAAATTAATTTATCCGTTTTGTATGTGTTATAGCCAGCCAGCTAATAAATAGTGCCATGCGTAGCGGTAATCATCCCGAGTGTTGGCTTTACGGAAGTTCTGAAATGTGCATTGTCGATATCGCAATTTACCGTCACGCGTGAAACCAAATTTTTGTCACAGTGACAAATGATTCCCTTCAAAATATTAGTATACTTTTTTGTGTTCACTGTGTCATAAATAGTTGTTCATTTGATGAATATAAGATGTATTCACGCTGTAGAGATCTATTATTCAGTGCAAAATTTTTTCAGTGTAGACTGGTAACCCTATACGCAGAAAGAGATAAAGAATAATGAAATTTTTGTATGTTGTACGCGCGCGCGCATCGCGCCATGTAATGCACTTTCCGAAGAGACGATGATTCAGTATGAGAAAAATGTCATAACATAGTTTACGCGCGCGCGCGCAATTCTGCATTACGTCCAAGTCCGCAAACACTTTTTCGCACTTTTTTCATTCGTTGTCTCGCACGCGGAGCAGCTCTTCGAGCGCAAAAGCGTATCGCAATCTCTCTTTTTTCTTTTCTTGATGAAAGAAGATTTCGAGTGTCCGATAAGCGAATAATTCGATTCGATATTATACAAAATATATGTATCGTTACGCAACGGACTTATTATTGGGTATCCGCGTGCTAATTACCGTTTAAGTATAGGTACACATTGCTTCTGAAGTTCCAGAGAGATTCGACATGACCGCCTATACATACACCAGCATGATTCGCAATATCATATGTATGTGAATTATTTTTTTCGTCACCATGCGGGCAGATGGCAGAGCTCTTCTCCCGTGACACATTGTCATCGTTTTCATTGACACACGGCCATAGGCGGGCGCGTGCGCGCGCGTGCCATTATAACGGAATATTTTCGCGCGAAAAAAAAAACGTAAAATTGGGCATTTAATTTACGGGACTTTTTTGCAGATACTTCGACATCGCGCGCGCGCGTGTGGCTAAATTTAAAAATCCGATACTATAAGTATCGACACGATTATGATACACCGAACCGCTGGGAATTCCTCTGCTGTATGAGCCGAGGCGTATTCGCAGTAATAGTTAAAGTAAGTATAGCCGCGGCGCCGTTTTTTTTTTAATCGCTCTATATCTGTATGCGTGTGCGCGTGTGTGCCCATACCAATTGGAATATTATAAATTTATCAGTTTACGGACAAATTGCGAAAAGTCAATGCATGAGAAAGAGAGTGAGACGGAGACGCGTTAAATTGAGATATCTCGAAGATGAGGTCACTTTTCGCAACTCGATAAATGAACGGCTCTGTATGTATTTCGCGTGTATTATACATAAGTACGTGTATACCGATCGAATGCTCGTGTGCATTTTTATATGCACCGGATGATAATTTTTTGCTCGAGCTGCGTTTACAAGTAGGGGGTGATGAGAAAATTTATAATGTAAACAAGGGATCGTTATTTTTATTCCGCTCGAAAGTTGTGGATGACGCACATTAAAATATTAAAAAACCATTAGTAATTTTACCCGTTATTTAAGAAAAGAATTAGACTTTTTATGCTATTTCGCGTGAATAGACGTGAAATCCAACTTCAGTCAGCGCGAAGCTCGATCGAACTCACGAGTATAACAGTACACAAAAGTTCTTCATCTTCGCGAGAAAATATATGCATACGTGTGCGCGTCTGTGGCAAAAGCTCGAAAAAGCTCGAGCTTTTATCGGCACTCCATCCTGCAATTATTTCAAAAAAGAGTTATAACTATTGTTGTTTTTCACTACTCCCGAGAAATCGTTCGTCCATCGCCTCCCGTAAACAACAATTGGATCCTATACCTTTCTCGCGAATCGCGACATTATTTCCACGAGATCCACGTGTGCTCAACGGTCTGCGTCTCTCTCTACGACTCTCGGAGGAAATTGACACGTTGCATATTATTACATGTACACATGGGACTCGGCGCTCGCGAAGAATGTGTGCGTGTATACAAATAAGCCTGCCTGCAGTTAACGTTAAGACGCGCCACATAGAGAACAGCAATTTTTTCGCGATTAAAATTTTACAACAGTTTCACTACTTGAAGCTGTTCTTGAACAGCTGCTAATCAATTTTTAAATCAATTGATTTTATCAAATTAAATTAAATTTAATTGTTTTGCAATGCTTCGCACAGAGAGGGTTCGAATTAACTGCACTGTAAATGCTCACTTGAAAGATATCGAGTATGGATTACAACGCTTTTATACACACGAGGGTAAAGTGGCCAGTCGTTGAGGCAATTTTTCCACATAAAAAAATATTTGTCCCACCCTTATGTAAGAGCAAATATGAATCAAAGTGGGCGACTCGAACGGCATAGATGTATTATCACTGTTTGGAGTGGATCCCGTGAATCGAATCTTTCTTCTCATATTATACTTACGACGTGACGCCCGCATCATCTCTGCATTGTACACAAAAAAAAATCGTGAGAATTTCGGTTCCCGGCGTGTTCGTGTAAAAGTATACAAAAATTCAGCGGCAGATTAGAAAAAGTACCGCCTGACGCGAATTATTGTTTGCAGCTTAGTTACGAGGCATTTGATTTTTGATGACTCGGAAATATTAAAATCGAACTTTATAATTAAAACAAGAGTGCGTAAAGTGCTGAGAAAAGTGATGTATTAATTACGAGACTTCTTATCGTTTTAAACGATGTAAAACGATATGAATTAAACGGTTTGAATTAAATAATTGATTGATTTCCATGTTAGTTTATCCAAATCTTTCAATAATAGGTCGTATTTGATCCATTTAGGGTCACGTATCATTATACCTGGTGTTCATAAAGAACTCAATAGTCGACGTACGTTTGCCCCAATTAAGACGTGAAAAAAATTTTCGATTCCTCGTTGCATGAGCCGAAAAATCCCCAGAGATAATGATAGTTAATAGCACGAGGTCCAGTTAAGACACAATCATACTGGTACAATTTTTTTCAAATTTTAAAAAAACATCTTCATAAGTATCCATCTATATATTTACTTTTGCCAAAAAAAAAAAAAAATAATAAGCCGTTTTAATTATTTCACCCATGAGTTGTAGACTATTCTCTAAAGAACTATTCCAAGTATATAATTGCAATGCGTAAAAGCA